ATGCTATGAATTTATCTGAATATAAGATTTTTTTTTGTCAAAAGATACACAATAAACATGCATGCATGCACACACACACATACACATGCATACAAATATATTTATGGCCAATATTATTAAAGACAAGACATTATGTGTCACTTAATTTTACTAATCAACTTTTCCAAATTACAATTAATCCTTCTCAAATAAGAAGGAAATTCCATCAGAAGAAATACTTACTCTGATGATGACTTAAGAAAGTCAAAAGCTTGGACCCTATTTCTTCCAAAATGAACTACGAAATTTCCTCCTTGTCTAAGAAGGATTATTTATAATTTTGAAAAGCCAATCAATCAGATCAATCAACATAAAATGTCTGTTGTTTTTAATAACATTTGCCTTAAAGAACACTTGCAGCCTAAATGCACATATATATATATATATATAAAAATTCTATATTTAGCCAGCAAATATTGATATTAACAAAACAACTTTTATTAAATTTAACCAACAAAGTCTGTTTAATTTTTATTGTATTTTTATTATATTTTTCCAATACAAAATTAAATAAACCTTGTCATCTGAATTTAATAAAACTTTATTCATATATATATATATATATATATATATATATATATATATATATATATATATATATATATATATATATATATATATATATATATAGGCATGGTGGAGTAATGGATATCGGCTTGGATTGAGGAATCACATGAGCCGAGTTCGAATCCAGATTGAATCCATTACATTCACTTACGTGCTAATACCCTTGGGAAAGGTGTGAATCCTCTTCTTCCTCCAGCTATGGGTAAAATAGCAGGACAGACTGGGTTCTATAGCCTTGGATGGCAACTGGTCTAGGAGAAGGACAACTCTGAATTCAAAACCTGAGGAGGGTTGTTTGGGAACCTTGTGACACGTAGTGCACCAGGTCTCTGTATTCGGCTCTTCAAAAAGTGTGGATGGTCCTGCACGGAACCTTCACCACTATAATCAAATCTCATGTGCCGGTGTTGGGCTGTCAGTTTCCTGGAAACTGATCTGCTTGACCCTCATACGTCGAACCCGACGGGAGAATCGATTTTTTTTTATATATATATATATACACAGTGTAATGGGTAGCAGCTTGGAATAAAAAATTGGAGAGACAAGTTTAAATTCTAGCTGAGTTCATTTTATTCACATGTGCAAATACCCTTGGGAAAAGTATATATCCATCTCTTCTCCCCACTAGCTATGTTTTAAATAGTAGGGTGAACTGGTCTCTTTAGTCATGGTTGGTAAGCGGTCTAGGAGAAGGACAACTCAGAATTCAAAACCAGTTGGGCATCAGGCTAGCAACTCCATCTCATAAAAACCTACTACTGGCTATGGAAACCACAGCAGTAATGCCTAGCATGCTGAGAGCTGTATATCAAGACTCCTCAATGACCCTACAGGACATGGGTGAGTGTGTGCATGTGTGTGTTTGTATGTAAGATCAGTTTTAAGCTTTCAAAATCTCGGTATTAAAAAATATTTTCTGAAATATCTTTGAGATATTGTTAGTATTTTGGTTCTACCCATTCTAGAAAAATCTTTTTACAAAATTTAAAGTAACATTGTTTTCTTGATTTAGATAAAAAGTGAATATGAAAATATTTAGACAATTTCTTATAAAAGTATAAAATTTTAACATAAAATTTTAAAATTGTCTTAATATTCATGAAATAGTCATCTATTTTATAATGATGACATGATCCTGTGATATGCCTTTTTCCTGTTCCTTTTAGTTAATTTTGTCTCAAAAATTGCCAGAAATACAAGCAGATATATTTTCAAAATCTAGGGATGTATGAAGTGCATTCTAGTTATTATTAAACCTGTTATTTTAACATTTATTTTTAAAACAAGGTCTATTAAATATCTGTCTATATTTCTGAGATAAGGTATTATGTACACTATTTACATTATTCAGACTATTGTCCTCATCTTTCTCGCCATATTTATTACAATGTTTAGACCGTTGTATGCTCCAGCCTTCTTCAGGTGGTTGGAATGTCAAGGTTTATAATACCTAGAAATTCATACACAGATGTCCTCAAGGACACATAGCACAGTTAGTTAGATCCAGTGACAGGACCCAAAGAATGTGAGTTCAATACCTGGTTAAGGCAGTGGAGAACTTAGAGAGGGGAATTAACAGGAGATAACTGATAACTGACGTCCATTAAACATGGCATGTGGAACTAGAACAGTTTATGCCAGTGAGCGAAATAAAGGGTTCAGTTCAACATTCCAACCACCTGAAGAAGGCCGGAGCATACAACAGCCGAAACATTGTAATAAAGATGGCGACAAAGATGAGAAGGTCTATTAAAATTTACCGAAGTGTTCAAATGGCCTTGCAGTAATATAACAGGTTATATGTAGTGTCTATATATTCCTATTATTAATTCATAATTCCAAACTAAATGACAATACTTATGAATTTTTATTCATAATGCTTCATTAAAAGTTTTAAAAAATCATCACTAATTATTGATCAACTTGTATTTCTAAAAACAAATTACTGTTTAGTAAGACAATTGGAGAATTTTTTTTTATTTTTGTGTTCTTTGACTTGTAACAATTCAAATTTGTTCCTTTCTTTCTCCCATTTTAACTTCATCAATCATATAGATACTTTGTTATCTGTAAATATTTCAATATTCATATATTGAGAAATTTGAGATAGGAATGATAACAGCAGAAGCAGAACAGATAAAATTTAATTTGAATGAGATTTCTGCCAATGGCCAAATTTATTTACATCAGCCACTCCCACAAACTTCCATATGTCACTCATCTCTAGTGCATCTGTATTAATCTATTTCTCTTAAACTTTATTTATTTCTCAATAATATTTTTTGATTGGTTGTCAATATTATGTTATATATTTCCCTGTAAATGTTTTTAGTTTTCTATATTTGTTAAAACTTTGAAGATAATGAAGTCAAGAATACTAATGTTAATTGTAAAATTTATCTCCATAATCAGTAATTTTCACTCTGCTGCATATAACATTAAAATTTTATTAATTTTATTTCTATAATTTTGCTTTTAGTTCTTTATAAAATGGTTCTTATGACTTTGTAAACACATTATATTATTTCTAAACTTAAGTTTTCAATTAGGTTTTTTGACTTGTCAATCTGATAACTTGTTTTATTAAATAAACCTTAGTTTACTTGTTTAAAATTTGGCATTAATTCTAATGAATTATATAGATAGATGAACAGGTACAGATTGAGATAGACACTAATAGAAAATTTTCTTGACAAGTATAACACACACACACACACATATATATATATATATATATATATATATATATATATATATATATATATAATATATATACACACACATATGTTAAAAAGTATAAACATTATTTTTAAACAGTCAATGTGTTGGTGCTATTCATATTTTTAGGTTTTATTTCTTGATATCCAAGGTTTCATCATTTGAATGGATAGACTTAAATTTATCTTTCTATATTAAGCCTTTCCTGTGTTGCCACTCATGACCAATGTGTTGGCAATCTATTTTCAATATTTAACTCCCTTCAAACAACCTACCTTGTGTTAAAATCAGAATAAAATAGTTTACTCTTGGCTACATATAGCATGCATGAGCCTATCATGGCTGACTGGCTTGCTTGTTGTTAAGTCATAAGCATGAAACTGATGTATGCTTTGGGATATATTGTTCAAGTCAGTTTTGAGTTGAGATTTATAAAAGAGGAGGAAAAATACTACAAATAATTCAGATAAGCAGCTAAAAATACAAATAATTGTTGAGGATTTAAAGGTGATACTGCATGTTTCTGTAATATCTCATAAGAACTTATATTTGCATGCCTTTTGTAAAGCTATAAAGCTTGGCTTTTATATCCAAAATATCAGGAACATGAACTGAATAATTTGCAATGAAATTGATTGACTCGCATCTCTCAATAAATTGCCAAAAACTGTCTTCTCTCTATTTATTACAAAGAACTTGCATACTGTGAAACACAAGTTCTTTTTGCTTTAATATAAGGGACATTAAACATTTCCCTAATATTATTCTGTTTGTTTGATATGTTTTAATATAAGGAATAGCAAATTCAAAATGATAATGGCTAAAGTTCTATGATTCAAATTAAATTGGAATCAATCTACAAGAGATATTTACAAATCAAGCTTTCGTAACATAACTTTCTATCCCTACTGTGCAAATGTTTCATTAACATGTATTTCATAATAAATTCCTTGAATATAACTAGTATGTAAATTAGTATTTATCTCAATTTAACAAATTAATTTAAATGTTTATCTTAGTACATTTCTTTAAATGTTAGAAAATATTTTCCCATGTTTTTGTACTAAAAGATTCAATGGTATCAGTTAAACTTGTAGGTAAGTGTAAATAAAAAAAAGTGCTTATATTTTTTCTCAGATTTAAAATTTTTTAAATTTATAAAAAAAGGTAATTATACTAATAATTTTTATAATGTTTTTAAATTATATCTAAAAAATATTTGAAACAAGAATACATATTCCTTAACAAAAATATTTAACCCCCAAAATAAATTGATGCTTAAAAAATAACTTAAGGTATATTATTACTAAAATACAAATATATATTGCTATTTTTTATTGGAATTATAGGCGACTTAGTAGTAGCTGTACATATACATGCATATATAGAGGCTGTAGAACCTTAGAGAGCACCATTTTTTATTAGTTCACGATTTACTTGATAGATGTCGCCACTACAACTAACAACAGTCCCGATGAAGTTTTAACAAATTATTTTTATTTTTCTCTAGAAAAAGGTTAAAAAGAAATAATTTCATCAAATATTTATTAATTATATTTTTAAAAGTAAACACTTTGAAAAACACTTTTTACAAAAAAATTGATTTTATTTTCGTATTCACTGCGTGGCGATCTTTTCGCCCATGTGGCTGGAGTGAGTTTCTTTCAATCGACAGCATGGCTCACTATAATTTTAAAAAAATAACTGTTGTGCCTCCATCACAGGTATATATAATATTTTTATTTTGATTGTTTATGTACTGTGTTATTATGTTATGTACTTTTATTTTTAAAGGGAAACCGTTCATGAGCCACAAACTCGAAATTCTTAATATTTGTGGTGATGTATGCAATGATGAAGTCATTTTTTTGCGTAACTGGTTATTTCTTTTTAATTTAAAATGTTTTTGTTTTTTTTAATTTAGATGAATTATTGATCTTTAATATTTAGAGGAAAATATTTACTATATTCCATGCACTTGGTTAAAAAAATATATGTTGAATATTTGATCCTTAAACTTTGTAAAATATCTACTGGTGGTGTTTTTTTATTTATTTATTTTTACTTAACACTCATCGAAATAAAATTGTACTGTTATTATTTGTCAACTAAAATGAAAAAAAATTCACCGAAGTCTTTTTATCATCATCAGGAAAACGAATTACATTTAATAAATATATAGTTTATGTCAACTAATCTTGTAGAAGTAGGAAAAAAAACAAAACCTTTTATTTCACCCTTTGGATTTTTAGTACAATTTCTACGCAACAACTTAAAAAAAAATTGATCTTAGTTTAGTTTTGCAATTATTTTAGGAGCTTTTCAAATAAATTTTAGACATTTGAATTAATCATTCCTTTTTTTCTCATTTGAGATAGTTTCGTTGAGAAACTTTTTTTAATCTAAAAAAGTAAACGAAATAGGATAATTTTTCATTATAAAAAAAAATCTCAATCGTTTTCTTCATATGCGATTTTAAAAAAAATCAGTTTTGTTAATTGTAAAAAAAAAAAGAATGAACAACGTTTTTTGTTTCATTAAAAAAAATGAAAATGTACTTAGCTTCAAACAATTTCAACTGTACATTTTTTTAATGAAGCGACAAGAGGACTGCTCTGTTCGTCATGAAGTTGTTAAAATTTAATTATTATTTTACGCAAAAAAAATTATTTTTTTTATATTTGGCAATTTCATTATATTTTTTTATGAGCGTCTTTATTTGTTCAAGTTTTGTGGTTAAAATAATAAACCAAAGAAAGTCTCTTTTTTTAGAAGTTGTTTTTTTGTTTCTGACCAGTACATCTTTTAGAATTTAATCTCGTTTTTATTTTAAGTCAATGAAAAACTCTTGATCATGCCAATTTGCGAGAGATGATAAAAACAAAAATTTTGATCTAGTATTAAATAAAAATAAATTTCAACTCAATTGACTGAACCTGTCACTTTATAATAGATTTTCTAATCGATACATTCTTTTTGTAGAAATAAGTAAATCAGATCAACATAAACTTCTATAAATTCTTAATACATTTTATCATTATTATTTATTTTTGCTAATTTGTTTTGGTTTTTTTTTGCATTATGCTTTGTTTGAAAACTATATCTTAAAAATGTTTTAAAATTTTTTCTCATGGTCAGTTTTCAAATAGGTGTATGAAAAAAAACAAAAAGCAAAATATTTTAAATTGTGATTATTGAATAAAATTTTAAATTTCAACTTTAAACATGGAGATATGAAATCGAATTGCTCTTCAAACAATGATTTTAAACCTCTTTTAGTTTTACTTGAAATTCTCATGACCACCAAGCTATTTTAGTGAATATTGATGTCATTTTGTAAAAAAAAAAATTTTTTTAACCTATTTTGAAGACATTTATTTAAATTTTGTATGCCTTCTGAAAGAGATTCAATTGTCAATAAGTACAGATTGGTGAAAAGTAATATGCTGAGTGGGTGGTAAGAAACTAGTGTTTTTTGCTATACATAAGTTGTGCCCTTCAGTTATGTGCCATACGTGATACACGCTTAGACGATCATGTATCTTTTCAATATATGACTGATGAGGCAGATTTTCTTTCTGTGGTAGACCAGTTGTCATCCAAGGATATAGAACCTGGTTTGTCCTGCTATTTACCCATAGCTGGCGGGAGAAGAGGATTCATACCTTTCCCAAGGGTATTAGCACGTAAGTGAATGTAACGGATTTGACTGGAATTCAATCTCAGGTCTCCGATTCCTCAATCTGAGCTGCTATCCATTACTCCAATATGCCTCTTATAAGTTGTGCAACATATCTGAAATTGATTCAACTCTTGATATGAAGAAGCAGTGGAACTGGATATTGAAATTTTATGTTGGCAGTAATTCCCAAAAGAAAATAAGCATTAGAAAAACTAATGGAAAATGAGTTCAATACAAAGCTATATAATGAAGATAGATGGCAGATATTGATATAATTTTTAGTTTATTTAACTTAGATTTATTGAATCTTTGCAATAACTTCTAAAAGAGATAATGTACAAACGGTAAAAACTCTCAGTTTAATTGAATCATAGAATGATCAGTTGGATGTTAGTGAAATTCGATTCCCTTTGACTGTTGATCTGATATAATTGTTTACAACCAGATGTGCTTGAAATTTTGGTTTTGTATTTGTCTATTTCTTTGGCATGAATCACTTGGCCTACTTGGTTGTAAGTATGAAAAGAAAGCAAATGTGTTCATAGATATTGTTTTTTTTTTTTTTAATATCATAGATTTTACAACGTAAATATTTACCAAGGCCAAAATTGTTCCAATGGCTCCAGAAAGAGGTGCAAGTATCAATGATGGTGTTAAGTAAAAATACAATTTCATATTGATTTAAAATGAAGAACTGTTTTCAAAAAAGAAATATAATTGACTATGATATACAGTCTGAAACACATTGTGGTGTAATGGATATTGGCTTGGAATGAGGAATCTGAAAGTAGAGTTCTAATTCCAGTTGGGTTTGTTACATTCACTTATGCACAAATACCCTTGGGAAAGGTATGTAGCCATCTCTTCCTCCCCAAGCCATTGATTGAATAGCAGGACAGACTGGGTCCTATAGCTTTGGCTGGTAATCAGTCTACTACAGAAAGAAAGAGTAACCTAATGCAGGAAAGTGTTCTGTCTAGTCATTGATGAATCAAATGAGACATGATTGCCCAAGCGTGTATCATATATGGCACTTAACTGACTGACTATACAGTCTGAAATTGGTTCATCTGTTGATGTTATGAAGAAGTAAAGAAAGCAAATATTGAAATTTTGTGTATACAGTAATTCCAGAAAAAAATTAAATAATGGAAGATCATAAAAATTTAAAGCAAGTGAGAAAGGAATATACAGTTGGGGAAAAAGAAATCTATATTATAAAATAAGGGTTGATTTTGTCCATCACATTATCCATGTATATATATTAAACATGCATATGTCTGTGTTGTACATGAGTGACTTACATGCACTTGTGTTATTTGTACACATACAATTTAACTAGGTTTGAAATAATACATTTCTCTCATTCAATCTAGACAAACCCTACTTTAGGCTGAGTAATAAAATCATAAAGTTTGAAACAAAAAGAAACTTCGTTTTTTTTAACCCCTTTTGTTTTTAAAAAAAATAAGTTTCTTTTTTGTCTCTCAAAAACAGTGTTAGATAATTCTAAGATTTTATTGACCTTTTTGTAAATTATTCAGAAATAAATAGAATTATTCTAAAATGTTATTTTTTATTTTCAATCTTGAAGAAAAATTATTAGGTCTGTCATTGAATTAAATTATGCATATGCACACAATTTGCATGAAACTGAAATTGACATGTATGACAATGTCTAATTTACCTTTCTGTCTAGTAAAACCACCTGAGTAAAAGGAAAAGAGTATTCACCAGAATGTGAAGCTCTTTGGAGTAATTTTTATGACTCCTGTATTTAAATTGAATTTGTTTTCTAATAAATGTATTTTAAATGGACAAACAATTTAGATTTTAAATTTGACCATCTTGCTGTCAGCAAAGCAGTGGGTACTGAATTGTGTGCATAATTGAATTGTAATTTCAGCTGATGAAACTCACCTTAGGAATTCTAGATGACAGATATGTCATGTGATAAAGACTATAACTAGAATTATAGTATTCACAAACAATTGTGGGATAGTTATTACCATATTTGACAGCATATAAGACACACAGGTGTATAAGACGCGCCACAATTTCAGCAGGGCAAATCAAGAAAAAAATTAGTAAAATTATTAGTAAATGTTACAGCCTAGGCTATATTTATGAGGTATTATTTTGGTTAAACAAGCCATGATTACAATTAAATGAAAAATAATAGGAAAAAAAGAACACTAGCCTTTATCCTTTATATGATCTGTACAACCTGCATCTTGTAAACATCTTATTGGCATAATTAGGATATAAAAATTCTGATTGTATTTATACCAATGCATCTAGAAATTATCACAAAAAAATATTAATGAAAGAAATATATTTTATAAATATATAATTGGAATTTATTGCTTATAATTTTAGTGAAATAAAGTAATAATATTAAATGTGATGAAATTAATATAATGAATATTATCAATGATAACACTTTTAGTCTGCATAATAGCCTTTTAAATAATGACAATAGTTATATGAAAGTTACTCTAAATTCTAAGCTAATAGGAGTTGCCATGTAGCTAGCTTCGGCCAATTACCACAAATTTTAAAACTACATATGGCATTTAAGGCGCAGGGGAATTTTAAAAGGTATACTTAGTAAACAAAAAAAATGTGTGCCTTATATGCCATCAAATATGGTATATAATTTGAAAAAAAAAACAAAACAAAACAAAAGGCCAACAATCCAAATGTATTTTCATGTTGAAAATACATTTGGATTGTTGGCCTTTTTAAAGGATTTCCCATTAAAATGAATGGAAAAAGGTGACCCTCAAAAAACTGTACAAATTTTTTTTTTTAGTCAGCTGATGCATGAATATAAATGTTTATATTTCTTAATCAAACTCACCAACCATTATTAACTGAAAATATTTTTGATATTTACATGAATGTCTGTAATATATGTATTTTATTTTTATTTTAGGATTTTATTGACATTATTTTGTCAAAAACCCAACGGAAAACCCCAACTGTTATCCACAAACATTATAAAATTGTGCGGATTCGTCAGTTTTATATGCGCAAAGTGAAATTTACTCAACAGAACATCCATGATAAATTAACACAGATTTTAAATGAATTTCCCAAACTTGTGGTAAGTAAATATACACTTTATTTGAATGTATACTCTTTCTATGATTGACATGCGACCCTCCTGTTAAAGTTTGCTATTTGTCCTAAAATTTTATAAAAAATGTGCATTATTAGATTTGTTTACTCATAATTTAGAGCAACTTCTTTAAAACACAAAAAAGGTTTATGGCATTGCATATGTTCTGGTTTAATCAAGTAAGATGATTTCCTTTATATTAGATGCAAATTACCTGCCCACTGAAAATTATATAAGGATTCTTAACTTGCATTGGGAACCTCTACTGACATTCTTTAATGTATTTTTCTTTTTTATATTATTACATTTCTGTACATAAAATAGCTAAACTGGATGGAAGAAAATAGTGTTAGTACAAACAACTCTCTTTATTACTGAATGGGATAATGATTTTCATTTAAAATTGTAAATTTTAATAAAGATATATATATATATATATATATATATATATATATATATATATATATACACACACACACTAAATATATGCCATCTGAATATATAGGATAAAATTATCTGGAATATCATTGTAATGACTAATATGGTATTCATCAAAAAAAAAAAAACAGGTATTATCTGTGTCTAAATTAGCACTACTGTCAACTATCAGTACCCGTGCACACTGTCTAGGATAAGTGTTGCTGGGTACTTCCACTTAGTATTGGGTATCTTTTTGCTCTCTGAAATGTTAAATGTTATATATATATATATGTGTGTGTGTGTGTGCACCTGACTTTTTAGCTAACCTGATGAATATTTATCACCGTTCCTAAACTTAAAAATTTTGAAAAACCAATAACATTTTTGATCTTGTGTATAAATACTTGTTACAAAATAAAATCCTTGCATTTATTTGCCTTGATAAAAGTCCCTTAGAGGATGAATCACATCAGTTGTTTGCCTTTTGACTTTATTCATACATACCTATGAAATATGATTCACTCAGGCAAAGCTGCATTAAAAATGCTCTGTTCTAAAAATTCCCTGTGGTTAAATACAGTGTGTGATGGGTAAATTTTCGCCATTTTATATTTTTCATTTTGCACATGTGTGTTGTTTGTTTTTGATTTTGTCAACTGCACAGTATAGTAGGGTCAGCTGCTTGTTCATGTTGAAAGCTCCAATATGAATATTTCAGAGTGTTTGGGTGTCAATCTGAGGACAGTGCAAAGAATTCCGAAATAGTTAGATGCAATCAATGATTAATATAGGAACGTTTAGTGTCTTTTACGCACTAAAAAACACATTGATTTGGAAATTCTTGCCAAAATCAAATAATTATTGGATTTTAGTGAAACTTTCAGGACTTATTAAAAAATAAATGGAATTATTTTAGAATTTTTTTTTTAAACATCTATCGTCCATTTCTCCCTCACGCACTTTATTTTATGAAATTTTGAGAAATTTAAATTTCACCTCTTTAATATTTATATTAATTAAAAGAACTTAGAGAATTTAAATCATCAACACCATTTACCAAAAATCTGTTCTGAATCGTAAAATAAAAATTGCCATAAAACTAAAACATTATTTAACTAGAAAAGCTTCTAATTGCTTTTATAAATAAGGTATATTAAGGACACTTGGGTTAAGAAAAAACAATTTTTTAAATGAATAATGAATTTCTACAAAAATTATTCTCCTTTTTTTTTTTTTATTAGAATAATATATTAAGTTTTAAATCTTAAAATTCTGTATAAATTTCATCCTTTTTAGATGATATTATTAAGTAAAAACTATATTTACTAATCATAAATTGAAAAAATTAGTACAATTCATCAAACACAGGGTATAATGATTGTCTTGATGAAACAAGAATATTTTTTAAAGAATTTTTTTTTTTTTCTTATGTGTATAAACATGCTGGTTTTTTGTAGATACGGGTGATCATACACAACATTATCAGAAAACAAAAGTGATAACTATAGTAAATATTTAAATCCCCAAGTCCTTCTAGTCAATTTAAATTAGTTTTGAAAGAGAGCAAAGTATTTTGCTTATTGGAAATATTAAATTTAATGTATTAACTTGAAATTAAAACTAAAATAAAAGCTTCAAGAAAATTTTTCTTTTTTAAAAATTCATTTTAAATCTTAGGTATCGCAAATCTGTGGAGGTACCGAATATATTTGTGTGTATTATAATTATTGCATATGTTACATAGAGTTCAACCCTTTCATGATAGAATTCACATGACTCCAGCGATATCCTACCACTGACAGTGTTTCTATTTCATTTCTTAGAGTAATTTTTAGAAAACACGTTCATGCAAAAAAAAAAACGTGTAATTCCATACAAAATAAACAAGTTCTTGGAAAATTTCCTAGACTAAACTCTCAGATACTGCTGAAAAAAATTGACATTTATTCCTATACCAAAGTGAGAGTAAAATTCCAAATATTTGGTCTGTCTTTTTAATTGTTTTGAAAATCTTTGAGATCTTATGAATTGGATTAGCATTTTCTGTAGCTTTAAAATATATAATTGGATCAGGTGTATCCCACACTTCTACAATGCTCTGAAAATGGCCAGAAAGCTAATACGTTAAAAGATGATACTCTTTCTTAAAGCTTCTCTCTCAAATAATGTTAGATAAAGCACCCAGAGTTTTTTCTTGTCATTACATTAAGTTATATTTATGAATTAGCTTGTATACAACTATATTTATTACTGTTTGAATAAGTACCAATATCAAGCCATCATGAGGTTTCATAGTGTTGTGTTTATTAAAACTATGAAAGTATTTTGGTGCATATGTACTAAAATGCCAAAATTTTCCATGATATTTTTGTTTGTCAGTCAAAATAAAATAAATACATTTAATATAAACAAGTTTTTAAAAAAAGAAAAAGCAAGGTTTTCCTTATAGAGGGATGTAGGCAAACAAGGGTGAAAAGCAGTGATACCATAACAAGCACCATATTGTGGGAAGTACAATCATATTTCAAGAAGTTTCAAGAATTGTTCTGACTACAGCCAAGAACAACAACTGCATGATTCATCTCAATAACACAAGCATATTATATATGAGAATACAACCAATTAAAAAAGGAATATAAAAATATTTATATAAAAAAGGAAAAAATTACCCCCTCCCCCCCAATATTTTAGTACAAGAGTACAAAAATACCAAATTTCCAGACAGGGTGGTGGCATGGAATTTCTTTAAAAGTACTGTGGTATCTGAAGTCTTGGATTTTTGCACGCCTGCCACACATGTGTGTGAATGTATCAAATTAATTACTTTTGTTTTTATTGGTATTTACAAAGAATATTTCTTTTTGGCTGAAACTTGTTCCTTTTCACAAACATTTTCATGAAGAAAATAAAATTTTGAAAGAATCTTAAATAATATATCTATAATATATAATCTAAAATTACTATATTTGACAGCATATAAAGTGCACTTTTTATTTTTACTAAAAATATCTTTTAAAATTCCTCTGCGTCTTATATGCCACATGTAGGTTTACTAAATTTTTTTTCTTGATTTACCCTGCTGAAATTGGTGTGTCTTATACACTGTCAAATACGGTGATATTTAAGCTTAAAAGCAATTGTAAAAGAATTCTACAAGTGAAAAATTTGGCCTTAACTTTGGGGATGAGGTGTTATCATTATTTACACTATTTATATCCCATAGGACAATAGCCTAGTGGATTAAAGCATTGGTTTGTGCATTTGGTGACATAGTACTTGTGAGTTCAATCCCTGAGCTGAGCAGTGTGTACTTGATATTCCTAGAACAAGAACAGTGTACCTGCATAGATTAAATAAAGGGTTCAGTTTGAAATTTCCTGTAGCTTACTCGGATCAATATACATGTGATGAAAGCTAGCAAGCACAACAGACGAAACGTGATAATAACTACAAATTGAAGACAATATTCTGAATGTAAATAGTGTAAATAATGACCCCTGTTCACCCTAAACTTTTAATTACCTAAAAGAATCTTTCCTTCCCAAAAGAAACAAAATATTGGGTTGATGTATATTTGTAATTCTAATATTTTTTGTCTCTTGGACATTGACTTAGGTATTTACAATGTTTGTCTTTGTTCTCATTAGTACAACATTTCAGCCGTTATACCCTCTGGTCTTCTTAAGGTGTCTGTTGATCTGGTTAAGCTTGTTCTTGTTCTGCCGTCCATGTCCATGTCCATGGATATTTTTTACTGCTATTGTTAACTCTGTTTCCAAATCTACTACCCAGCCCAGGTATTGAACCTGCAATTACTCTGCTGCTAATTTTACAAACCAATATTTTTGTCCCAACAGATACCTAAAGATGGCCAGAGAGTGCAATAGTTGAAATGTGATAATAACAGCAAAGTTATGGATATTAGTCTGACTTTAGATCCTCATCATCCCAGAAATTAGTTAATTTTTTCTGTAGCTTATAAATGAATGTCAAATAAAGTTTTACTAATGCCAGAGAGAATTTTCATTTTTGCATTAACATTTGATATGTTCTTGTAACTTAAGTTTTTCATGTCGGTAGAAATCAAATATTTAAGAATATGTACCAAATTGTGGAGTAATGGATATCAGCTTGATAATGGGGCATCAGAGAGCCGAGTTCAAATTCTGGTCAGGTTCTTACATTTACTTACATACCAAATACCCTTAGGAAAAGGTATGAATCCATCTCTTCTCCACCCAGATATAGGTTGAATAGCAGAACAGAGTAGATCCTATAGCCTTGATTGGCTACCAGTTTACTGTGGGGAAAATCTTCTACCTAGTCATTCATGAATCAAAAGAGACATGACGCCCAAGCCTGTATCATCTATGGCACTTGAAATGACTGACAATATTTTCATCTGTCTTCAGATTAAGATATGCAAATAATTTTAATTTAGGATAATGAAATGTCAGTTGGTGAATTCTTTAAGTATAATAGAATTTTATTATTTTATTTAAATAAAATAAAGATTTTTTTTTTCCCCTTGTGTAATAATTGAGGATTTTGTTCATTTTCCATTGTATCATTATATCCTTAGATTAACAAAAGAGGAAAACAAATGCTTTTATTTTATTCTTTTTTGTTTTTTATAATTTATTTTTAATCCATTTTTAGGATGTACATCCATTTTATGCTGATTTAATGAATGTCCTTTATGACCGAGATCATTACAAACTTGCGTTGGGACAAATAAACACAGCTAGACATCTTGTTGACAAGTGAGTATGCAGTTTACATTGTCTCTAATCAGAATTGAAAGAGAAAAATACAACATTCATAAAAAAATTATGACTCGCTGAAAAGTGCCCTCTTTTTCTGTGGAAGATTAATCCTAGAAAATAACATTGATGACATCTGATCATTAAGCAATTTCACTAATTAACAAGAAATGCTATTCAGTTATGAAAGATTTGGATTATCTCCTCTTTCTTGTTTAGTTCAGTGTCAGCATTGCTACTTATCAACACATCTGTTTGACACCATTAATCTAAAAGCTAATATGGTAACAAAATATACATGTATATGAAACAGTAGCTTTTTTTTTTTGCTTTTTCTTTTTGCACAGAATTTGAAGCTTTTTGTAGAGTAATTGGCTATGGTTAAGTGGACTTGGCAAAAATGCCCAACAGACAGAATTGACAGTTTCCAATAAATAACAAAAGAAAGAAAAAATACAGGACAAAATAATACTAAACAAACAATATACAGGTTGGCAATAAAATCACTATACAGTTACTTATAATAAAAAAGCAAAGCATTGAAGCAGGCGGCTTGCAGTTCAAACAGTATCAGTAATTAATTTACTATTGTTCACCATATCATTTTATTGTTATTAACCAGAACCATTTTAATAATAAATTTCTAGACTGTTGATTAATTGCTTTTGTTATTGTAAGTAACTGTATAGTGACTTTATTGCCACCCTGTATATGAAAGACAAAATTAGGCAAAGCAACGGTAACAAGGTGAAAAGTTCATGAAGTCATAATGGTGTTAACACACAAAAAGTCAAATGATGGTAGCATTCTGACTTCAAAACAAGAAAGAACAAAAATATGGTGAATGTGACTGAGAAGTGGCATATCTTATTGGTTAAGAACAATTTTAACAGATCCCAAACCTGTATAGATGAGATTCTCTGATAGTAATCTTAGGAAACAGCAGCTAAGATTTGACTAAAATCAGCCATGAAATATGATATAACTCATTCTAACCTTAACTTCATTAACATTCCAAGCAGAATGAATAGAATTTTAAATAGTTCTTGAGTTTCAGGTGTCAAAAGATTTTTACTACTGTTTAAGCAGTAACTTCTCTATGTTGAACCTGGTTTTACCACATAAAAAAAAAGCGTACACACATCATATTTATTTGGGATGTTTTAGTATTGCCACAAGATTTACAGCATTAATATGAAATTTTCCTTATATGTATAGTCCGTCTGAAGTTATTATGCAAATCCCATAAACTTTAACTCAAATTTGCTTTGAAGTGTTTTTGTAAAATTTTAAATGATTAATTTACACATCAAAAGAAGGCTAAAGTTAAATTTTAGTTAGTTTTAACGTTTTATTAAAGTTATTGGAGTTATTATAAAAACTGCAGCTTGAAGTTATGCAAAACCAGAAAATCACTTTTTACTTCAATAACAAGGTAATAAAATCATCATCAATTGATCAACACCTATAATAGAACACATAACAAACATATATAAGTCTTCAAAGTATTTACATCTTAATATAGTGACCCTTGTTCTCAATAACAGCCAGCAATTTATGATTTAGTTAAATTTTTTGCATAAGCTGGTGATTTTAATTGTTTCCCATAGTTCTGCTTTGCTGTCTTATTGTTTGCCACTTTCATATAATTTCATCTTCACATTTGACCATAGATTTTCAATCGGATTCAAGTGAGGACTTGATAGTAGCCACTCCATTATCTTTTCTTTTGTAAACCTTTTATGCTCAAAAAATTTATGGGTAACCTTATAGATACATGAGAAGTACTCTACATCTTTTGTTTCTCTCATTTCCAGCCTGTTCAAAGATCTGAGCACTGATCAAAAGTGGTTGTTTCACTATAACTTATTTTAGTTTATGTTCATGATCCCTGCAAAGCTCCTTTGATATCTCCAATGTCTACTTTCCCTCACTCAATAACTTTATTTTCCGTTTTTCAGCATTTGTTAGATCGTTTCCATTATCCATGTTTCAACATATATTATGGAAAAAACGAAAAATAGTTTCTATTAGATTTCAAAGGTTTTAAATTAATATTAGTTTAATCTGCATAATAACTTCAAACTGCAGTTTTTATAATAAATCCAATAACTTAAAAAAAAAACATGTTGAAACTCCAGCTTTGTTTTGACATCTAAACATCAAAAATTTGACAATTGTTCAAAGCAAATTCAAGTTATTGAGGTTTATGCGATTTGCATAATAACTTCAGATGGACCGTAGTTGCTGAAATAACAAAATACACAAATTGCTGTGTCACAATTTTAGACAAAGTGATTGTTGTGATGTCATGGGTATCAGCTTGGAGTGAGAATTCAGAGAACCAAATTCAAATTCTAGTTGAGTTAATTAGATTCACTTACACACAAATACCCTTGTGAAAGGTATGAATTCATCTCTCTCTCTCCCCCTCCCCACACACACACACAGAGAAAGCATGGATATTTACTTGACCCAACTGAGTCAGGTTGTGACACAAGGTCAGTTTTTAACGTGGAGACCTGAGTGTTTTCGATTGGGCCACTGGTCTAAGCTTGTCATAGCTGGTCCAAACTGGTCAGAGTCGGTTCAAGCTAGTCATAGCTGTGATACCACCAGCACAAGGACGGAGCCCTGTGAAGTAATTATGGGTTGAATAGCAGGACTGGGTTCTTTAGCCTTGGTTGCAGAAAGAAATCTGCCCCATCAGTCATGTATCAAAAGCGACATGATTACCCAAGCGTTTATCACATATGGCATTTAACTGACTGAATGATCATTTTTTGCCTGAATATTTCCATCATATCATAGGTCTTCTTGGAATTAATTCTCCCAAGAGATTGACATATGTAGAATCTGTTGGATTTTTTTTTCACCAGTTCATTAGACAATGCAAGCCAATTCTATACTGTAACAAAGTTGGAAGTTTAACCAAAATGGGGTGTGCAGACTTGAATGGTTACAAAGCAAAAATGGGAGTAAATTTTGAACTAATGCATGGGTTTGATTTAAATTTGGAGCAAATTGAATATACAAATAACTTCAGTTTAATTTACCTTGCTTTTCCAGAAATAAGATTAAAAGTAGAGAAATGTGGAAGGAAATCTTGGTAAAATTATGAAAATATCTAAAAAGGGGAATGAGTTTTAGTTCAAAACCAGTCTTGTACTCTTCAGCAATGTTTTCTGTACAGGTTCAATGCCTTAATTGCAGATAAGTTGTCTACAAGCCATACTGTTTTTCACTGGTTTTTTTTTTTTTTTGATAAACTCTGAGATGGATACTTGTCCTTAGAATCTGAAAGTGACAGTTGAAATTTCTATATCACATAATGCAAAAAGAAGACTTTGACATTCACAGAGCATACTTCAGGGAAGAGGGAAACAGCAAGAAACATACCTAATGAGATTGTGTAAATGGATAGCAGAATAGAGAATAGGAGGAATAGTAAGGAGATAAATCTTGCTTACAGCCACAAAGGACAGAGTTGTGGAATAGTAATGATTGACCGTGTTGTAAAGGGACATGACACATAAAAGAAAACGTGTGCATGCACTTTGTTTACTTGAAAAGAGAAAAATCCAGATCCCCAAACATTCAGGAACAAGAAAATCCAGAAAGAATGCAAATATCAAGAAAACAATATAATGAAAGTTATTGTTCGAATTTGGTAGAACTTTTTCTCAAATTACCTCCCTTTGATTTTCAATTAAAAATATTTTAAAATACAGACTTCACCCAGTGTTTTGAAAATGAATATGCACTTACTTAATATATTCATTTATTCAACTCATCAGTTTGTTTGAACCCTCCATTTTCAAAAAAAAACTGATTCAAACTCTGTCAATGAAACCACAAGTGGTAGACATAGCTAGTTCAACACTCATACAATGAAACAAAATTTAATCCACCTTGGGTATTACTTCAAAAGATATTATAATGAACATTAGTACTAAGTATTAAAAAGCAAATTCATTAAAGAATTACACAAATTCTCACAATGAACATCATGAAATCAATGTAAATTGGAGACTGCAGCATCACAACAGTCAACACCATTTTGGTTGTTTACCATCTCCAGAGTCAGATTTTTTTTTAATGCTTGTTGTTGTACTGCCTCCCACTTGGAGGAAGTGTTTAGTTTCTTATAACATTCAAAAGAAAATTAATTTAGCTTTTCCAAAAAATGAGTACAAAGTGTTTGAAAAGTAGAAATTGAGGGTTAGAATATAATTTTGACAAAAACAAAAAACATGTAAAATATTTCACCTATGCTTTTCTGGAATCATTGAAAAACCAGTTCTTTGTAGATTCAGAAATGCTAAAAGTAGAATATGTACTGTGTTTTGTGAGCCATCAACTAGTGAAAACATGATGCAAAATTTTCAACAGCAACAAAATTGGGTAAGCAAGCAGCCATTGGTGATCCTGGGTATGACAATGAACAGCAAGACCTCTGATCAGGAAATTGGAGATCTGATTGGGGTGATAGCACCTTTTAGGGTCCCAGCTATGGGCAAATAGTGTGGCTTGGGAGATCATACCTTTATGAGGTCAATGTCAAGGCACAGTGTTCTAGGTCTGTAATAATCTGATAATCTGTCTTTAGTTTCTAAGATACAAAATTATTTTATTATTATTGATCTATTTGAGACAGTGTCATTATCAAATGTTCCTTTTATGGATGCAGACTTGATATTACTGATTTCATTTGGAAAAAGAAAAATAATAAAGATACTAAATTAATTGATAAATCCTTATTTCAAAAATTTGGATAGAAATTAGACTGTTATAAAGTTATAAAAAGAATGTGTAAAAAATAATTTTTTTTTTTTCTGTGTGATTTCAAAGAATTTATATAAGATATTTTTTGTTTCTTTTTCAGTGTTGGTAAGGATTACAATCGACTCCTAAAATATGCTGATTCTTTATATCGATGCAAACAGCTCAAGAAAGCTGCTTTAGGACGGTAAGTGAATTTGCATAAATGTTTGAAAAGCCTCATGTAGGAGCATCCTCATTCATCAACAAGGGAAGATAATATTGCGTGCATTGGAGCTTTGATTCAAATGTATAAGTAGCACATATTTCATGATATGGCTGTGGAATTTGATCATCCAAAGTTCATGTTTTGTAAAATTGTACATAAAAATATCAGAGAGTTTCTTCTTGTTAGGTCCCAAAGCATTAACCATTAGTTCTTGCACATGGGGATTTTTTTAGCTTTAGGAATAGTAGAAAATACTTCCTGAAGAACAAGCATGTGTGATGGTGTGATGAGACCAAGATGAATCGTGTAATCCTGGAGACAAAATTTGATTCCATGATTTAAAAGCATCTCTTGTCATCATCAAGAAATTGATACTAACTGTGTTCTAGGTTGCAAAAGGTATGCTGTTTGTAAATTTTTAATTTTTTAATCATTTCACCCCAAACAAGGAAATAATGCCACTTAAAGTAGAAGTGAATGAAAAGAGTTTAGAAGGAACTGGAGACCCAATCCTAAATCTCTACTCCTGTTCAAAAGAGTGGGAAGGAGTGTGACCCAGGCAACAGGTAAACCTATCTAACCTATTAGAAAAAAAAAGTAATGATTTTGGAGATTAGGTGTAGACAGAAATGTAGTTAGTTAATTGAAGAGCATGTGCAATTTAAGTGTGTGTGTTCAGTTAGGGGCAGTTATTTATGTAACTGTCATTCCTTATTGAATTTTAACTACTTATTTAGATTTTAAGATTTAAGAATGGTCCTAAATAATGTAATATAAAAGGTTAAATAATAAAAAAGATCATTACAACAGCATTTTCTCTAACACAAAAAGCAAAATGTTGTGAATCGGACAAAAAAAAAAATATTTGATTTTTTTACAGTAATTTTGGGGGAAAGGATTATATAAATACTAGTATTTCCTGTTATGTAGCTTATGTTTTAATGAGATTTTAACATTGACTCTGAAATAATAAAAACCATGTCTAGTTAAATCAGCAATTTTTACACCTGTGGACACAAAGGAAATATCTAAATTATATATCTTATGTTATCTTTTGAAGTGTTATTCTTGTGATAATACAGGATGTGACAAAAATATCTCCCATGTAATGGAAAGATATTAGTGGCAATGGTGTCTTAATCTAGACATTTTGCTGCAGTCTGTACTTTATAAAATTTCCTTAGGAAACAAGACTAAACAATGTCAATTTTCTGCAACTACATTGTTGATATTCACTTAAATTTTATCACTTACTTTATCTTGCCTTTTAATTTCTCTTTAAGCAGCAATCATGTTTCCCAAACTGTCTTTAATTAAACAGTGTGACACATTTTGTTCTTTACAAAGCAACAGATGCTGCCTTATATGGGTGATTTCATTGATATCTTATTTGCCATTGTCTTTTTTTATGATATTTACTAGGGAAATTGGTGAAAATCAGCAAAAAGGAAAACCTATTAGACAAAGTGTGACATGTTTAAACACTGGCTTACACACACACACACACACACACACACACACACACGGAGTGCTGAAAAGTTCTTGACAACTAAATAATGTTCCCCCATTCACCCCCCAATAATTCTCACATTTAGTTATTTGGATAGTGGACCAGACCAAAAACTTTTCAGCACTCCCATAAGAATATAGTTTTATGATATGCAGTACCCAATATTGGAGATTGTGTGTGTACACACACACACCCACCCTATCTTCAATATTGGGTGTGCTCAATACCAGGTGGCATATATAGTCAAGGTACCATGCAACACACATGGCCTGAAGATTGTGTTCAAGTATGAAACAGACTATTGCCACTCGGTGTTGACCTCACTGACCATTCTTTTCCCTGTGTGTGTGTGAGAGAGCGAGAATTTGTATATTAATTCTTTCTTTTACTAACCATCTTATGCCCATTGCAGCTAATCACATAAATTCTAGAAAACATTTTTATAATCAAGAGTTGTGAAGTGATAAGTTTTTTTTTTTTTTCTTTACCTTCATGAGAAAGTACAGCAAAAATTTATGTGAGTCGCTGTTGTTTTTTTTTTTTTTTTTTTTTTTTCTTGCATGCTTAATTTTGCTTTTTATTTCTTTAGGATGATGACCATTTTGAAACGACAGAAGCAAAGTTTGGAATACCTCGAACAAGTGAGACAGCATTTGTCTCGTTTACCATCCATTGATCCTACAACACGTACTCTACTCATTTGTGGATTTCCCAATGTAGGAAAATCCAGCTTCATAAATAAGGTAAGGAATATGATTTTCTTATTCAGACATGTATATTTATTTTGATTGTTAGGCTTACAATTTTTCAGCCATTCTTCATTTGTCTGTCTTTATACTTTGTAATCTTGGAATTTTGAAGTGAACCCTTTATTCAATCTACAGGAGTAGATTGTTCTCATTCAATAGTGAGGGGATATTTTCCATCAGATAATATTCACCAGTCTTATTCACCTTTGTGTTGCTTCTCTGTTTCTTCATCTAAACCAGAGTATGCAAGCTCAGCACTACCAGACCTGGGGATTGAACTGACATTTGTCAGGGAATCAGATATGTCTTAAGCAACACTTTAATCTATTAGCTTCAGTGTTGAATTTCTGGAGCCTCAAACCTAATATCTCTACTCAGGTAGTGGAAGTTTTTTAGTGTCCTTCCTTTCTTAATCACAGGCTTCTAAATAGTATTCACCTTTTATGCTTTGTCTACTTTGGGTGTCAGTGCCCAACATGTGCGCTCATTCTTTCGGTCACTTTTCTATATGTTATCTTGACCATTTAACAGATGTTAAGAACTACCCTTGCCCCTCCATATATGATCAGCCATGTCTGATTTCAGTGCCTCTCTCCAGAAATATTTTTGATATTCCTCTACTCTTTTGGGGAGCAGCTGGTTTTCCCTTTATATTCCCTGCTACAACTACATTTATAATTTTTGGTCATGTTTTCTTGCAGTGGGAGCCAGAAAGGATATATACAAAGAGTTAAATACAGCCTTAATGATGCATGGGCTACAGATCCTCTGAATATTTTCAGATATACCTCTTATGTGTAGTAGATAGTGTGGCAGATTTTTGATTTCCTATTTATGGAAGCTGATGTCATGTTTTCCTGGTATTTGTTACCCTGAAGTGTTTTTAATGCAGATAATCTTTTGTTGGTATGCATCTGAGTCACCACTTATGAGCTTCAGTTGGTAATGTAGGCAGCAGTTGATCCCTTTCTTGACACTGTATGGATGGATGGTGGGAATTGAAATTCAGGTATTGTCTGATGAATGTTGGCTTAACAATATACAGTTGTTTTAAACCCATACACTCATTGACTTATCAGTACATTCAGAAAGGTGTCTCTTATCTGTTTCTATTTGTTTGCGTGTCCAACAAATTGATATAAATTTTAGTATGCATATTTATGATCTCAAGAATCATTATTCTCTTGATTGTTGGTTATTTCTAAAGTGATATTGCACATCAACTGTTGATTATTTGTTAAGATATAAATTATATCTGTATATATTAAAGTGTGAAAAATTTAAAGAATAGAAGAAATAGTTTGTATGATTGCTGACATCTGAAAAAGTCTGCAAAGTCTTAATTCTTTTCAAAGAAAAGAGAAAGAAATTGATTAACTTTGAATACAAACTATTTTGACCTTGCACCTAATGAGGCTCAGCTATGAAATGTATACAAATAATGCTTTTGTTATTTTAGGTTAGACATCAACTAAAACTTATTCCACATCAAATAATATCATTAATCAAAATACTTTGAATAAAATTAGATAAGTTTGAAGAAGTCTGAAAATAAAAATTACTAGAAATACTCATGAAAATTTAAGTTTTCCTATAAATAAGCTCTACAACAACAAAATATCTGGATTGCATCATTAAATATTTGTGCTTAACTTTAACAAATTATTGTAATAAAAAATCATAAATATGAATGCTGGTCATGATTTTAAGAAGTGAGTACAAATGAAGATTTGAAATTGACAACTTTTTCCATTTCACTGAAACAAACATTAAGCACTACCTTTCTTTCATTTTCTGACTGAAATCAAGTAACGTCTCTAATATGCCTTTTCTGTCTTTCCGCGTAATCAAAACTGAATAGTCCATTATCTATGAGCTGTTGGCAGGGCATAACGATTAAACTAAGGGAGGATTGAGAAGAATTATAAGATAATTTATGTATATTTACTAATCTCTGGGCCTTCACTATTGCATTAGTATTTTAATGAACCCCCAAACATAAATGAAAATGCCTACTAGACTCTCAAACACACACACACATGCACACAAACAAATACACTTTATCATCTAATCCCACATAGACAAACTAAAATTGTTACACATACTCACATGAATTATACACACAAATGCTGCTTGACAGGACAGATATACATGAGGTTTGCTCAACCAATGAAAAACAAACACAAAAATAAAAATGCCAGAATTTTCTTCTCTCCTCATTTCATTTTCTAATGCAATAAAAGCAAAACCTGTTAAATTTATAAATGTTTCCTATTTATTCTTTATCCTATCTGTCAGAATCTAATCCATATTTGATCCCAATTCATCAATGAACTTTATATATATTTTAAATTGTTTTGGCAATGTGTAAATGTTTTTGATTAAATGTCTTACAATTGATAATCTATTTACTATTATTGTTTTCAGATCACCCGAGCAGATGTTGAGGTTCAGCCCTATGCTTTCACCACAAAATCCCTGTTCGTGGGACATACAGATTACAAATATTTACGTTGGCAGGTAGGGAACTATTTTTATTTATTAATATACTTGAAATGTTAAATGGTCTCATCTTCTATTACAGAAATCTTATTTAAAGACATTTTTTCTTTTTCTTTTTTTTTAATTTGATATTGATTTTGTATTATTATGCACTGATTTGTTCAGCTTAGCATCCTCACTGATTATCAAAACTGGTTTCAATTTCACACTAGTGAGTTCTGTATTCAGGTTGATTAGCCTCAATTGAGGATGCTGCTTTGAAAATCTCAAAGGCACAGACTAGTAAATTGAGATAGAGAACAAAATAGCAGCTGGGCAAAGCCAACCCTAAACAAATATTATAGGAGAAAAAAATGAAAACCCTGATAAGTGATACTGAAATCATTTTGTTAGCAAACAAAGGTAATGAAATAATGGCATTGGAATATTTGGAAAAATTGGCAAGCCTGTTTAGGGACAGTAACTACTGCAAGGTATATTATTTGATTTGTTTTTTATGACTTATCAACCTTTTGCATGTTATTTAACCTTTGCAACTCTGCACTAACTTTCAGAGTTGTATTCTATTGATCCACATTAATTTTGGGTGTGTTAAGTTTTTGAATGGTTGGTATATTACTAGCACTGTGACTTTTACGGTTTTAGAGATATTGTTTTAAAATTTTTAGGGTTTTTGAATGAAAGGGTGTAAAAAAAAAAATGTAGACATATTTGAAAAACATGAAAACTAAAAAACAATATGAGACAATTGATGAAAAACAATTCCTACTCATCACATTGTGAAAGCCTTGCATTTATAAAACTGTTGTCCAATAAGAAGAATATGAAGGTCGCTTTATCAAACCTATCAATAAAAGCAAGGCTAAAAATGCTTTCATTTCTTCAAAGCAAGCGTTTTTCTTAGCTCTGATTTGCGAGTTGGGTTTTACTGTGTCACATAATTTTGTTTTCACATTGTTTGCATACTGGTTAGTTTCCATTACCATTAGTTGAATAACTTCATCAGAGAAAAAAGACAAAAAATGAACACCTCACTAGCTTCTTGATCAACATTTTTAGCACCAGGAGTGTAGGAAAACTCTGGTACTCATGGGTGATCGTATGCTTGTGATGACTCAAAATCTCCTCCTCCTCGGTCAGAATTACTTTCAGTCTCACCATCATACACATCACCAATATCTGCATGGGTAAATCCAAGAAATTCTTCTTCGGCGCTCTCACTGTCCATGTAAAGTTCGCCTATCAATGTAACAGATCCACGCCTTCCCTTTTTTCATTGTGATAAAAAAAAATAATGAACGTTTTTTGTTTTGTTTTTTTTTTTTTTTTTTTTTAAACACTTTATTAAAATTCACTGATAAAATAACTATTTCGATTAGGACAAAATGACTGATATCCGATCATTACCAGTTTCTATCACTATTATAGGTTATTTTTAGAAATGTACTTTCACTTTGAAACAAAGCTATGTCACTCAGCAAACATGTCTACCCAGAAAATATTGAGAAAGAGTATTTGCTAGTGGACATGTATGCCTGCAGAGTTCTAAAGGTTAAGGACAGAAAATATTTTTAAATTGTAAGAATTTTTTTATATTTGAGATAATAATGATTTACTGATACAAGTTCTACTAATTAACTCAGGTGGGGGAGAACAGTTGGGTTCATACCTTTTCCCATGGATATTTGGACATAAGTGACTATAACAAACCTGGCTATCTGATTTCCAATTCTGAACTGTTAACCATTACAACACCTGCACAACCAAGCTTACAACAGCTGGTATTTTTATGCAGCCACCCATTAAGGTACTGATCAAGCTTGATGTTGTTTAACTTCAGTGATCATATGAGAACTGGTAGTTCAAAATGGCCATAAAACTTACTGTAGTGTAAAAGGAATCAAAATCTGAAAACTGAGAAGAAGCTGTCAGAGATCCTGAACAAGGATCTATTTATGTTTAGGGTTGATTTAATAGCTATAGTAAGTTACCATATATGTAGTCTTACCAAAATTCACAAAGTTGTCATCCATTGTGAATATAGGCAACCTACAAACAATCTGCTCACTTGGGAGAAAGAATTAAAATATTCCTATTCATTCTAATATCATGATTTTGGACGTTGTGAGCCATGTAACCATAGATGAGGCGTTATCTGGGATTCAAGATAAACTGAAATCTCACTCCTCTCTTAAGAAACCTATTGGTATTTTAATAGATAGCAACATATAGAGACGTTGTCATTCTGTGAAATAATAGAGAATAACAATGTCAAAAGGATCAGTACACAAGCTAAATTCTAATAACTTCAGTATAATTAGCATAGAAATGAATACCATATGAGAGCCTTTAATTAGTAAAACATACATTAGACCAAAGACTCAGCAGCTGATTATACTGCCAGTGTAAAATCATATACTTTAATCTTTAGCACTCTGCATTATTATTACTTCCCTTTCAATTGCATTCTTTTTCAAGACCTCTCAATTGCAATATCCTTATTGTTAATATCACTCAAAAGGTGTATTCTGTTGCCATAGCAGGATATGACAATGCATCTATGAAATCCAAACAAATTCAGATTCAGAGGCAGGGTAAACTTTTTGCACAGCAAATGAAATTATATACAGTAATAATGGTTAATTTAGTTTATGAGGCAGAAAAGCAACATTAGGTTTGAGGCTTCCAGTTTCCGTGACTGGATTTTCCTACAGGGTACACAGCCAAGTACATTGTTGTTGTTGTTGTTTTTTTTTCGTGAAAAAATTCTAGGACTTCATATTAACATACTCTGGCCTAGTGGATAGGGCCAATGTTTATCTAGCAGCTGGGAGTTCAATCTCTGTATTGGATAGTGCAAAAAGTTGTGTATACTTTGCTTCCATGGAAGAGATAAGCAGCATAACTAGAAAGAATAAACTGAGATTTCTTCTCACATGGACAACAGCATGAAAACCTACTCGTGTAAATTAAATAAAGGAGTTAATTTTAAATTCCAGGATTGTTAATGGCTACAACAGATACTTGAAGAAGTTCACAGTACAATGGCAGAAACATGACTAACAATCAATATGGGAATACTAACCAAAGGATATCCATGTACAATAATGATAATTGAAAAAAAAATAGTTTTGAAATAAAAATTTTCTGGATTTTATTTTACAAAAAAATTGTATTTTCAGGATATACAGTCATAATGGTGATGGTATACTTTGAATGTTTTTCATCTTGCCACATGCATCCAACCCAAATTCTTATCCATAAAATGTTCATTTTCAGAATTAAATTTTGATCAATTTCATAATATTAATGAACATGTTTAAAATTTATTAAGATAATATCCTTATAGCAGTATGTTAGAAAATGGACTAATTTTTATTTCGACTTTTCATAGTTTGTTTCGAATAAGAATTATTTGCATTGGGTTGATGCAGAAGTTCTGTGTTGGTTGGGAATCAAAGGATTCTTTATTTCAAATTGCTGCAATCTTGTTACTGTATAATATGAAGAGTGTTGAAAAGTTCTTAGCTCAACATACTTCTCCTTTGTACTGTATTATGCAATTAACTCATTTGAATATAACTATTTCTGGACAAGAATGTTGACTGGTGATTTTTTTTTTTGTTGCATGACAATACCACCAGTTCTGCAAGTTGTAAATGAATTGAACCATCATTGAACAGGAAGTTTTCCACATGCAGTATATTGTACAGACCTGCAACTGTCAGATTTTTGTTTTGTGCTACGTGACTTGTCTGGTCAGTGGTTCCAACAAGTGCATGATTGAAAAATTCCTCAAAGAATTCTTCAAATCAATACCCCCACTCGCTACAGTGTGTGTATGTGCCAATAGATTGAACTCTCTTGCCTTTGATGACAGCCAGTCTAGAAAGGAAACTGAATTCAAAATTGAATATGGCTGTTTAGAGACTTGCAATTTGGATCAAAGCTTAAAAAAAAGGTTGATTCATGCTTTTCCAAGGACAATAGCACAAATTGAATGGAACAGAATCAACCAATTTCACTTTCTACACTGGTAACTGTTATACTATTGGCACATACCTTTTAAAAAAATTAAGGTTGGCGCTATTGATTTGAAGAATTCTGTGAGGAATTTTTGAATAACGTACTTGTTTGGACCTCTGAAGAACTTCCTATTCATGCTGAATGATTTTGGAGTCTTTATGATACACTGACAACCAATGTGTCTGATTCTTTGCTGTCCGTCATCACTATAAACAAATCATATGTTGGTAGTTTGGTAGTTCAGTTCTAAAACTGCTTTCATATGTCAAAATCATCGGGATAGTCCACTATATGCACACCCACAAAAGTAGTTTAATGAAATATGGTGCTTGCCCTAGTTTGCTGGCAAGTTCCCCCCACACACACACACACACCAAGTCATATTCTGTATGAAAAAACGTTCTTACCAGAGCAAATAAATTATAAGCTATTAAAATTTTATTCCTGCAACTTTCTCTTTTATTTTCTTGTTTTCAGATTTTTGTAATATTTGATGACATTTATCAGATGTTTTCTTTTTATTCATAAACTCATGTATGTATTCTATAAAAAGATTTGTCATTGTATTTTAAAAAAGGAAAGAAAAGTTTCTTTACTAGTCTTAAATTAGTTTCAGTTGCTTAAGGCAGAAAAAAATTTTCATCAGGTGGACTTTAAAAACAAAGATAACTGGTTTTCTTTTTGATAGATATTTGGATAAACTTTTCTTTTTTTCTTTTTTCTTTTTTCTTTTTTTTTTTTCTTTTTTTTTTAATGTCTGGCTAAAATTGCGTACATTTTTATCTTATCTAAGAAGTTTTAAAATTCTTTGTGAAACAGAATGACAATTACGAAAATTTTATGTTTTGAAAATTAAATCGAGTATGTTAAGAATAAACCAATATTTGCTATGCCTTTTCTTATTCAGGTTGTGGATACTCCTGGTATTTTGGACCATCCTTTGGAGAACAGAAACACAATTGAAATGCAGGCTATTACAGCATTAGCCCATTTAAGAGCTGCAGTTCTCTATGTGATGGATATTTCTGAACAATGTAATCAAACCATTGAAGAACAGGTTAGAAAGAATATACTTTTTCAAATTAATTGATGTAAAACATTTCTACATTTGATTCTCACCATGTTTTAGATATTTAACACTCACTGATTACAGAAATTAAAAAAAACTTGGAAATCAAAATCTCTGTTAATATATCATTGGGTCTCTTTATTTTATTTTTATACTAAAGTTCACACAATACAAGGCTTAAGAGCCACTCAATGTAAAGAGTTACTGTTAAAATGGTTATGATGGTTGGAGTGTGTGATAAAAATGTAAGAGGTGGTAGAAAGTGAAAATTATGAGAATAAGGGAATAGATAATTGACCCTTAACCTGAAAAGGTTAAGATTGTGATGTTCAGGAAAGTAGCCATGCAGGAATCGGTTCCACAAAGTAGCAGTTATTGGGAAAAGGTTGTCTGCATGGAATTTTCTCATTACATCTTTATAATAAATGCTAATGTCAATGTGTCACTGTTACACATTTTTCAATTAAAGAGACACAACTTTCAATAGCTCATCTATATAATAAATGCGAATGTCAGCATGATAATTTTTATAACTTGAAAATAAATTTGGGAATAATCAAAATTAATTGTGAAATCCTGCTAAAGTTACTCATGAAATAAAAATAATCGTCAGTAGGTAAGAACCTACGTACATCAAATTGTCTTTTAATTAAGTGGTAGCAAAAGAATTATTGAACTTTTATAAAGTAAGTGTAAATATTAATGCAATACTTAAATGCAATGATCAATTTTGAGTTCTTCTCTAGTTTATTGTTGTCTATCACATTTACTCCTCCCTATCTATTGTGATGAAGTCCAAATCAAGAGCCCTCTGCAGGAACTAGATTAAATGCCACCTGATAGGATGGCTTTTAATCTGGTTTGGAATATAAGGGAAATAAGTGGGATACAAATCTGTGAAACTAACATGGTATGTCACAGCTGTAAAGGTGTGAACTGGTGAAACCAAAGAATGGACATTTGCTATGAAAATGGTGATAAAGTATTAGGACTGTGGTGGTTGCTTCTGTGGAAAAGAGACTGCTGAATGAAGAATTTCCCTCACAAGAGCACAAAGAATTTTGAATTTTATCAAGGCTGGAAAGTGAATATTGGACAGCTCCAGTTTTTTTTTCAGTCTCTTTTTTTTTTTTTTTTTTTTTTTTTATTATTATTATTTCATCCCAAGCAAAATGATAATGCCACTAAGACATAAGTGGTTATTGGGAGTGAAAGAAGGGAAGACTTTAGAACGAATGAGAAATCCAATCCTAAACAAGGGATAAACCTCTACTCTTATTCAATAGATGAGGAGGGAGTGTGAACAGGGCACTAGACAAACCTATCTACTCCTATAAATGTATATGTATCTACTCTCTCACTCACTCATATTAGTATATTTATTTTTATTTTGGCCAAGTCTCCACCATGGCACACTAATATATACAGCCCCCCACATGTCACATTTCAGGCTAATTTTTAACAGGCCTATCTGGTTTATAGCCAGTTTATGTCTGTTTTATCTAAAACATGTTAAAACAATCCAAAAATACACAAACAGGTTATTTTCTTTTTAAATAGAAAAATAGTAATAAAAGATTGTAAACAAACAAAAAAGTTATTAAAGAACTGTAATACAAAACAAATACAAGTTAAAAAAAAAAAAAAAAATACCAACAGTTTCTCTATAAATCAATTTTCTTTTGACCTTTAAAACATTCTATAATATTTTTTAGAATTTCATCTGATGAAAACTTTTGTTTGTTGTAAAATATTTTCATAACAACTTCTGCTACAAAGTGAATCCTTTTTCAGTGTGTTGCTCACAAGTAAAATCATATTTTGGAAAATAAGTTTCCAAAATTCTTTCAGCAGACTCTCTTGTAGTGGATTCATTGTTTTACAATAAATTTATCTGCATAGTCAAGTATAGTAAAATAAGCACAAACTCTGCTATCTAGCTAGATGGAACTGTAAGACCTCCTTGAGAAAGTCAATGTACTGCTTCTCTGTAGCATCATCACTGTTATGACCAGGGAACACATTTTCACATTGAAAACAATTAATTAATTTTTTTGAATTTTCTCCAATAAAGAAAAAGATGATAATGGAAATTTCTTCAGAAGTAATTTGTAGGCTTGTTGACACGTGTAGCACAGTAGTAAGGCATAACGTATTAGTTCTGCAGAAAATGAAGGACGACCTCTTAGTTGGTAATGTCTTTTTGTAATTCTCTTAGAATTGAGTATTTGACCACGTTTTGTATGTAGTTTGGAAATTTTTCTAACATGCTAAATCTTGTGTGAGTTTAGCATTATGTCCATGTATAAACCACTGTGGTAACCATATTGGGGTTCCATCACACTGGAGCTGGACATGAAGGTTTTGGTCAATGCAAATACATTTTTTTATAAATAGAAAATGTGTTTCAGAGTTAAAGACTATTCTATAAATTAGAATATAATCTTCCTTTTTATTTATTTTTAATTCAAAACTGTTAAGACAACACTTTGCTTCTTCCAATTTATTGTATCAGCTGAAATAAAATCCTGTAATTCATCAGTTTGGACCAGTCATTGTTTTGGAGGCTTTCTGAATTCCCTTGTATTTGATAAAAGAGACGGTTTTCTTATTTTTTCTGAATGTATTGGATGTAAATCCCAATTCAGTTTGTTTCGTTTTCCTTTCAAAATAAATTTCTCTTCAAAATCTTTCATAAAGAGAACTACATGAATTTTATCCATTTTTCTATAAGATCAGATTTTCCAAGAAAATGTGAATACTTTTTCACTGTTAATAACATATCCACTAGAACAGCCAAATGAAATACATTTGTTAAGGATTTTTGTTAAACAAAATATCGCAACAAATTTTATAATTTAATCTTTAAATGCAATTGACTATGAGGTAGAAAATTTACCTAATAGCGTTCATTTGCAAAACAGGCTGTATATGCAGTTGAAAATCATAAAAGCAAGGTAACTCACAGCCGTTTATAATTCGTGCATTAGTTAAAAAAAAAAAATGTGTAAATGAGCATTTTAGTGTTGAAAACCTGTCTAGGGAATTGAAATAATGTCTGATAAATTCTACATAATTGTACGTTGTTAATTTATGTTCTAAGAATTACATTTTTTAAGTTACCTTCCTTTTAGGTTAGCAATTTTCTAACCGGACATTCACTTTTTATTTTTTTACATTACATCAGCCTGTTAGAATTCAGTTTATGTGACATATGGGACCATATAATACTAGTTGGTCATGTCTCTGCTCTCAATATCTCATTACGTCTTGATTCATCATACCTGTTTTAAGTTTCAGTGCCTGTATTTTTCATATGGATATCGGGAGATGTCATATCTTGCTGGCTACTGTTCTTATAATTTTTTTGTCCCTCTTTTAGCTCCTTAGTGCATACATACATACATTATGCCCTGCCAATCTCTCATAAAAAATGGACTATTCAATTTGATTGCATGGAATTAAAGAAAAGACATATCAGAAACCTTGCTTTCTGTGAAAAAATGAATGAATGAAAGAAAGAAAGGAAGGTATCTGTGATAACACTAATGTGTTTAATGTCCGTTTCAGTGAAACGGAAAAAAAATTGTCAATTTCAAATATTTTTATTTGTACCCCCTTACTTCTTTAAATAGCAACCAGCATTCATATTTATGATTGTTATTGCAATATTTTGTTAAAGTCAAATAGTTAATGCTGTGATAGGGGAATTTCTACACATTTTATTGTTATATAACTCACCTTGAGTTTATTCAATCATTAACTTAAGAATTAAGATAGGAAAAACTGAAATCTTTATGGATATTTCTAGTTAGTATAAATGCATGTAAATGTCATCAGTATGTTGATATTGTTGGATATCTTTAATCACATTTCTCTAAAGGTTGTTTCTAAAAATGTATAATCTTGAAGAATTAAATTTAAGGTGTTTTTCTTTTATTTTCAGATTGCTCTTTTCCACAATATTAAACCATTGTTTATCAACAAACCTCTTTTGGTCTGTGTTAACAAAATTGATGTTATAAACTTTGAGGATTTAGCTGAAAATAAAAAGGTAATTTCAATAATTTGCTTTTTCTTATCTCATTATTTTTATATAAAAAAATATTCAATTTTAATTTGTATTTTCATTATATAAGACATTTTGTGAAATAGCATTTATTTTTTTGTAACAGAATTTACTTGGTATTAAATGACTTATTTTTCTTCATAATAATGGTTGTAACAAATAATCTTCAATTTCTGCATGATTCGTGATTAAATGTATAGAAATATTTTTCAGCCTATGAAAAAATAATCTTAAGAATTATTTTCTTTGATGTTTTTAAAATTAATTTTTACTTTTCTGCAGACATTATTAACTTTCCTTTGGCATCACAAACCAGTGTTCATAGTCCAGATTTAAGAAATTCAATTTGTAACAGGAATACTGCATTATCATAATACCTTGTCATACAAACTTCTGAGACAAAATGTATACATCTGTGTGCTAAGGATAAAAATCATTGAAAGGTTTTTAATATATATATATATTTTCTTTCCAATGCTGTTAAGTGGGTAACTCTTTAATATATCTTTCAATTAGTCATTCTTTTTAATTATATAGAATATGTTTTACATATATATATATATATATATTAACTATAAGTTTTTCTTTTCTTTTGTTAACAGGCTGCTATTAAGAGTCTTGAAGAAGAAAATATACCTATTTTGTTTATGAGTACAATCACAGAAGAAGGTGTGATGAATGTGAAAATTGAGGTAAGTCTTGTTGGTGTATTCAGCCGAGTGAAGTTCTCATGTATATTTAAGGTTATCCAGTTTAGGGAATTGATATTTTTATAAAGTCTTCTTGGCTCATAAATGACTTGCCTGAGTTAATTATTACTAAGTTTTTATTGCATTTTATTTCCCTGTAAGATTGTTTTTAGTTCTTATTTTATTGTTTGGCTAAACAAAGCAACATGAAAAAAACAAACTTCTGAGTATTTTTACAGATTGTTGTGAAATTAGCTAATATTTTTAGGTGCATACAAGGAAAGTTCTCCTTTAAAGTATAGTACTAAAAAGGTTTTATCGGGTATATTTATGCTAAAATCCTGTTGAGGTTAAATTTAAGTATAATGTGCATAAGCCCCAGGGGAACATCTCAAGCAGTACCTGTCCTTTGGGAGTAGGCTAGGGTTATTTCTGGTGCTTAAAGCATCTCCAAAAAGGGAATTGCTGAGGTGGTTTGAGTAATTTTTATCTAGAGTCACATGTACATACCGCCTTGTGCCACATTCCATTTGAGTGGTCAAGCAGACAGATATCTATTAAAATATTCTGGAATGGATGGTTGTTAGAAAAAATACTAGTTATAATATATAAAAGAAAAAGCTATTAGTTTTATCAAGAATGTATTTGATGCTGTTTGATTATATATTTTTTTTTAAATCTTAAACTCATTATCAGGTTTAACCCTGGGTTAGTCTCCTCAGATTTCCAAAAATGGATAGTCCCTTAGCAACTGCCTCCCATGATAACTGAACTACAACTGTGCCACACCACATGCTACATACCCTCACTGAATCAGGAGAGTAGTGGAGGGAGAAAAGGAAACCAGTTACGAACTAGGAATTATGGGTACTTTAAAATTTGTGGGTAGCAAAACGTACTATGTGACTAATGTAGAGTTAAACCTGGTCAGTACCTAGTTAGGTGACCGCTTGGGAATACCAGGTGCTGTAAGCATGGATATGCAAGTTGTATGGCTTACAGCCACATCACATTAAAACACTAGTTCTTGTATAATCATCAAAGTTAAGCAATGACAAGCCTGGTCAATACCTAGATGAGTGACCATTTGGGAATACTGGATGATGTAATGCATAATGGCTCAGAATTAGAAATCGGAAAGCCAACTTCCACTTCCATTCAGGTTCGTTATATTCACTTATATGCAACTACCATTGGAGAAAGGTATGAATCCAACTCTTCTCCCTCCCACTATGGGTTAAGTAGGACTAGTATCAGTAAAATCATTATTATCTACAAAAAATCCTTGAACCCTATATTTTCTGTCTTTAAATAATCTGAAATAGGTTGATAACCCATAAAAATCAAATCAATTATGATATTGAGCTTATTTTATGTCTTAATGTAAAATTTACAATGATTCATATATTCCTTTAGATCTCATGGAATTAAAGTTTAGAAAGCCATATCTATCGACTACTTGTGATTTTTAGTTTAATCAGTTTCACTAAATTGCCAAAGTTTAAAGATAAATTAGCAGTAAACAGATTTAGGGAAACAGCGTGTGAAAGCTGCTAATTCAATATATTTTATAACAATATAATTCTGTTTAAATGTGTTGTATTTTGTCAATTATAGCATCTCTTTTTAATTATACTTTCAGGCTTGTGATCGTCTTCTATCTCAGAGAGTTGAAACAAAACTCAAACAGCGAAAAGGTGATATCTTAACCAGATTAAGAGTTGCTGTACCACACAAAAGAGATAATAAAGTATGTATAAAATATCAAATTCTGTTTCTTGGTATCAATTATTTGAAGCCAGTGTTTAAGTAAATTGATACCACTTAAGCTGAATTGGTTAATGGATTGATTAATACCAATGTTTCTTTATTTTTGCTGTTGTTTATTTTCATTTTTATGTAACTCCTTCTATTTCTATACACACACTAAATATGAAAAGAAACTGACATTTTTGTTACCATTCAGTCACACAAATAATGGTCCTTTTGGTTAATGTGAAGGGCACAACAAAATGGAAGAAAAGATTTTTACTTATATTGTGGCTCCTGTTGTTACAATAATTCAAACAATCCATTCTGTGTCTTTCAGTAGGTGTCATATGGAGTGTGTGTTGTGAAGGATCTTTTATTGAAGACCATCTCTTATATGTATTTCCTCTATCAAGATTTGATCTCTATGGTTGCTGTATAATGATAAATCACACGTTTATATATTTAATTTAAAGATAAAATACCACATTTCTTATTGCCTAATAGATAACCAAGATATCCAGCTGAGTCTTTGATAGTCTTTCTCAGAGCAACAGGAATTACTTAGTAGTACCCAACTCCTTTCTAATCTAAGATATTTAGATATCTCAAGCTTTACAAACACTTTGTGATTCCCCCTTAAAATTTAAACTGTAATTGGCATGGTCACTAAAAATGAAATCTAACACTAGATAAAGCATTAAAGTTATTAATTTCTATGATATTTCTTTTAACTTATTTCTTTTGTTTTTTTATTGCAATTCCCCTATTGTCAACTTACAATCATTTCCAATCTGTACTGCTTACCTGATAATGGTTGTAATAAAAAACAATGGAAATTAAGATAAAAGAAATATTAATAAAAAATTGAAAATGTATAATTCAAACACTGTAAAAAAAGAAATGTATAAACTATATAGGATTAATACAAATAAAATTTGTCACTTAGCTGATTGATGTTATATTCAGCTCCTCGATCCTAGAGTTTTATAGATGAACCCTTTTGTAATTCTTCAGGAGGTTTCGGCAATTGACTGCAGTTTTTCTCATTTTTCGTTATCTTTAGACTAAGTTTAATGTAATTAATTATTGTGCTAGTTGGAATGCTCTTGGGGTTAGGTTGATTTTTTTTTCTCTCTCTCTTTGTGTGTTAGATGTGGTTATTACTCCTTTTCATCACTTTCTTGTCTCCTCATATTCTCTCTCTTCTCTACATATTCCTTTTCCTTCTTTTTCTCTTTATGCTAAGGTTGGCTCTGTGAATTTTGAACAAACACAAGTATGCCTGATCAGGTGTTTGCAACAAGGATTAGTTAGCCACCAAAGGAAACGGGCACACTTGGATACCACTTTGTGTGTGTAATACTTAATCTTTTCCTTTTCAGAAAATCATTTTTTTATAATAATTTTCTTGGGGTTTTGTGTTCATGTCTTTTCTTTCAGTGAATGTAATTCTAAATTCATAATCATTTAGTTTTGCTGTAAATTTGATTCGTTTTTGTTTTAAATTAGGAACGTCTTCCTACGATTCCTCTAAACATCCTCGAAAAAAGAAAACAAATGGACATAGATGATAAACCAACATTGGTAAGTTGAGAAAATACTTTAGTCTCTGTTATTCCCAGACTACATATTTTTTGTAACCATTTATTTTCATTTGTTCTAATTCTTAGATATACATAGCAGTACAACAAAATGTGAAGTATACCAAATATAATATGAATTACTAATATTAGTCATTTATTCAAGAAAATTTCTGAAAATGCTAACTTCACTCATCCCACTTTGTTGGAAAGGGCAAGGTACATTTCAGCTACTTGCGCAAAAGAATTCAGTAGCCCATTTATGAAAGAAGTTGATGACCATTCACAAAGATATGAATAAATTAAACTCTACAGAGTATCTTTAGCATTTAAAAGTGGGATTTGATGAAACTTAATTTTAACCTAAAATTTGATTTGGCAGATTTTGGCTGTTATCCTACATTGAAAATCAAGAATTCAAATATTATTGACAGAATAAAGCTATAAATTGTATGCATACTGCATTTAAGAAACCCTCTAAAAAAATGTCTTTCTGCTTATAGAATGTTAAACCTCATTTCTCAATGAGACTTGAATTCACTCATTGGTGCTTACATTGATTTTTTTTTTTTTTTTTTTTTTTTTTTTTGCCAAAAGTGATGATTTAGAATTTTAATGAACCCAAACATATGAAAGTGGATTTATACATTTTCCTTGTTCTTGAGAATTTACAACAAAAAATATTAAACACAATATATTAGATTATTTATTTACAAGATTATAAAAAATATGTGAATCAACTACAATGAAATAGTTATTATTTATCATTTTATGAAGAAATAAATATGAAAAGAATTTTTTTTATTCATAAATTTATAAAAGTGTCCATGAACAAGAAAATTTGAATAATCACATAATGACAAGTAACTAATTTTCTGGGCATTTCTTTCATCTGTTCTCACCACATAAATTCTCTAAAATTAATTCAAGAGCATCTTTTCCTCTAAACCAAACATTCTTTTAATTTTATATTTTAGGCAAGAACACAATATTTTCAGTGTGTATCTTCCTATTTATTGGATGGACAAAGTGTTCCATGTATGTAGTTAAAGAATGTCTTTAATTTTTACCAGTTTGTTGGAATTACTGTATGGTAGCCATCCATCTGAAATTATACACTCCTGGTAAAATGTGTCCTTCAATTGCAGGATGCAGTATCGATGTTGTCTAACCTGCAATTGGTTGAACAAAATACCTTCCAGAGTCTTTCAACCCCAACTAAATACCCACTCTCTTTGGTACACCCTTCCTCTGTTCTTTTTCCTCCTTTCAAAATACATTTCCTCAACAGCATTATCACATCCACCAAATTTAATTGGGTTGTGTGATAAGTGTTCTTTGCTTTCTATCCTGCAGTTCCTGGCTAATACAACATTGGTCTTACCTTTTTGTAATGTCAGCTTCAGCAGCTGCACACTGCTCCAGGTGTAAATATAGTGTCACTTAAACAAGATCCAACCTGGGGGAATTTTAATAAAATGAACATCATCTGCACTTGCAGTTTTTTTTTTTTTTGCATGGATTACATTTCCATGCATAGTTGTCTAGTTTTATCCTTTCTGTTCAGTCCACTTGACACTTGCATTTTGGGTATTCACATTGATTGGCAATGAGCCAATGTTTTGCCAATCATTCCAAAAAACACAATGAGCCAGTTTCAATTGCTTTGGTCAAGGTGCTTAATAGTGTCAACTTTTCATTTAAGATTTCTTCATCAGTCATCATTTGGCTGACAATAGATAATCGATCTGCAGATTTTCTAGACGCGTGTCACGCCTATTTTTAGAAAAATTAGCAACAATTTAAAAAATTATTTAATCTAAGATATAATCTCAGAAGAAAATGATATAATGTATGGAAACATCATACTTTTTCTTTTTTTTTTTTTAATTTTCTTTTATAGTTCATAGATGTTTTTATAAATAAAAAAAAATAATTTACATATTTATTTAGAAAATGGTAAATAATAAATATCACATTGTACTTTGTTGACATATCTATATAAACTTGTAAATAAACATACATAAATATACAGTAATAGCTATATCAGCAGAAAAATCATCCTTTTAATACAGTTTTTTTTTTTTGCTGGTACTTAGGTTAAACCTTGACTGTTTTTCTTTCTTGCATCCTTTATCTTAGGGTTCAGCTTATTAGTTTTGACTAATTAAAATGGCATTACTTTGTATCTGAAAATTTTAAGGATGAATCTAACTAGCTTTTGAAAAACTATTGTGTTTAATAAAAAAAAATATCTCTGTGAAAATTACTTTGCTCAACTAGGATTGCAGGAGATGTTGATAGAAAGCAACCCTTTTTCTCTTTAAAGTAATATTATTTCTTAAAATGTTTAATAATTGATGATATACTCAAATTGATATTGAATGTTAATCATGGTTATGTTTAAAACTGATACTTTTCAAAAGTACGCTCCATTATATATATTCAAATGTTTTTGGATTTTTTATGGAGACCTGTGTTTGAAATAGATACCCTATTTTTGTTTTTTTTGTTTTTAAAGTGTGTATTATGTCTCAAACTACACACTTGGGAAAACTTAACAAGAGAATGTGCTCTCCAGCAAGGTTCAAATATGCATCCGTCTTTTGTAGGAGAAACCACCACTCAGCCACAGAGGGCATCACAGCCCAACTGGGTTCTATCTGCCCTTTTGAAGAATGCACACTTCCTCGTTCAGTTATTCTCGAAAGCCATATCTGCTCAGTTTTGGTTTGAATCGTAAACAAAGCAATTTCTAAAGAATTAGTGAATTTTTAACAATTTTTTTTCTAGTGTGCAGGCTGTTGGATGTAATATACACTGTTTAAAAATAAAAAAAAAAAACAGATCATCTATTATTCTTTAGAAATATTAATTTCATTTTGGGAAATTTATTAGACATCTTAATGCTCATTCCAAAACCTATCTAATCGGCAAATATTTGGCTTAATAGTTATAAAATGTAATGCTTGATTGAAGTACATATTTATCATATGACAAAGTATTGTGGATTTTAAAATTAAATATTTGAAAATTTTCTTTTTCTCTCATAACTAAAATTGTGTTTTTCTTTCCAGGAGAAAGATATTGAGCAAGAAATGGGTGATGATTATATTTTGGACCTTAGAAGTAAGTATTGTTATTTATAAAACTGTTCTTTATCTTATACACACACACACACATTTATTATTATATTTAGTGAGTACCTATGTTTGAGCAGATATCCTGTTTTTTGTTTTAACATTGAAATTAATATCTTTCAATCTAGTGACTGAAAGCCCTATTAGAGAAAAATGTCTTAGGAGGAATCAGTTTTATTCTCTCTTACTCAAATGTGTGTCTCAACTAAAAAAAAAAAAAAAAAGAATAAAACGTTTATAGCAATAAGAAATAATGTCAAATTAAAAAAATCCAAGAATTGCTTGTATATAAAAACATGCGCACAAGATTTGAAGACAAGATTGATGAGTTAAGTAGCAAAAATAAGTTTGAAATTGTCTACTGTGGATTGATTAGTTACGCTGCATGTTTATTTCACAGTTACTAAAATCTTGTCTTTTTTTAATTTTTTTTCTCCATCAGAAAATTGGGATTTGACTAATTCTGATGAAAAATATGATGTGTTGGTTGAATTTTGGAAAGGGCGTAATGTTGCAGATTTTATTGATCCAGATATAATGAAGGTAAAGTGCTTTGTTTTTTGTTACCACTTGTCTTTCATCCATTTTCCTCATAAAACTGTCTTCAGACTATACTTCAAATAATTTGAAATCAAATTTTTAAGGGTGTTAAAGATCAATCACTACTGATCAACAGTAATGCATTGATCGTGTGTGTCTATACACACATATATATATATATATATATATATATAAAATGAGAAAGTGGCTAAAAGGATTAATAACCATTTTTCTGGAATCATTTATCAATGTCTACTCATCGTACTATGGTGCATCTTTTTTTTGTTTTTTGCGGTGTTGTTCACCCTGTACGAGGCCCAAAAAACTTCTCAAGATAGAGGGTTATAGGGTAAGTAGGATGGGTTAAGTCAGTTCCACAAAACAGTGGTTCATATGTTAGATAAAAATTTAGATCTAGTTTTTTTTTTGTTTTACTTTTTAAGGGAATTTTATGTTTGTCTCTAGAATCTCTTCTGGTCATTTTTGTTTTGTTGAACAGGAAATAATTTGATTTTATAATTGCAAATTGTCTCTGGATATATTGTTAAACAGATGAAAGTGATTTATATAGGTTTGATTCTTGACAAACAACCTCTAAAGATCTTGACAATGTCATGTAATTGAAAACTCTCATACACACATGCACATCTTAAAAATCTTTCTTGAATATTTTTACCAGAAATCTATCAATATCAAGTGTTAAAAAAAAAAAAAAACTAGGTTCAGGAGATAGAATAAAAATTAACATTCGTACAAAGTTTGTTATGATCCAGCTTCCAACTTAAGATAATAACTGAAGAAGCAATCTATTGAACGACAACGAAAGAAATATATTTAACATCCTTCTATTGATAATCATTGTAAAATTTCAGATATAACTATAAATATATCAGTAAAAATACAATATGAAAAGGAAAACTTAGACAGGTTTTATCCCTTGATGGACTTTATCAAGGCAAATGTAAGGATTTATTTTAAAAGTATTAAAAGTAAAAAAAAAAAAAAAATTCAATAGTTTTTCAAAAATATTTTAATTTAAGAATGCTCATAAATATTCATCAGACTAACTGAAAAGTTAAGGTCAATTATGGAACATATTAAGTGATGTAATTTAATCTCTAATGAATGTATATTTATGATTGTTCTTAATTTTTGAAAAAGTAACATCTTTATTTTTGTTGCATAACACACACACACACACACACATATATATATATATATTACTATCAAAAGAATAGCTTCTAACATCTGGCTCCTATCTCTTTTGAAGTCAAACATTTGGTCATGTATACAGCAATCTCATAAAAGTCTTGTATTACATTAAACTTGCTTGAACATTTTGAACTGACTGGTTTAGAAATTAAGTAGTATTAATTTGCTGTATTTGTATACTACTTGTGTATCCGTGCTGTCAAAATTAAGAGCAAGAAGGAATGTATTATAAGATAAGCAATTTACGTATAATCCAAGTACAATTTTGTAATTTAAAATAGCATTAATAATTGAACAGTGTACAGTTTATAAACACCTAAGAAAAGATATCCATATACTATCCTCATAAATATTACATATTTACAACCAAAATTATGTTTACTAAAGTTCCCAAAGCACAAGATTTTTTGTGTAAACTTTGAAAGTTCTAAGTAATCATTGACAATCCATAGATTCAATTTATAATTTCAGAGTCTGCTTATTTCTCATCCTACTGAGAGCAACAAATCATCAGATATTTTTTTCTCAAGCTGTTACCAAATTTCACAAGATATGCTTTGATTCATAACATAAAAACTACATTAGAACTATCTAATTATTAATTGTATAAGCATTTAATAACTATCAAAAATAATATAAATGAAGGGCGTAGTATGAATAAAAAAAAAAACTCCATTGATGACTAATGAATTATTACAAAAACTGGTATGCTCGTGACGTCAAAATTGATGGCAAAAGGGAATGTATTATAAGTAATATATATTATATTGTAAGTAATTTTAGTTTAATCCATGTGCAATTTTGTAATTTAAAATGGTTCATTGTTAACATTAATAATTGACCAGTGTACAATTTATAAACACCTCGGGAAATTTATCCATATTTTATCCTCATAAATATATTTACTATCAAAAGTTTCTTTACTGTGAACTGTGTTGCCCCAGGGAGCTGTTCTCTTTGTAGTTCACTGCACCCTCCCTCACCAACTCATGCAAAGAGAGAGGGAAAGAAGGGGATTGCTTTATAGTTAGCTTTTTGTGTGTGTGGGTGTGAATAGGGTCTTTTCCGCACTGCCCCTCAATTGTGACACCAAAAAAAAAAAAAAACATGTGGCGTATTATATTTAAGGATTGTTTCCTCCTCTCAACCAAATGGATATGTGAAAAAAGGTCATTTCTCTTCCAATTTAAATGTGTTGATTGATTCAATTCTAATTTTTCTGCAATTTACCTCTGGCTATGAGTTAATTAGTAGGACTTAGTAAATCATTATCTCAAAAAAAAATTCTTACAGTTGAAAAAAATATTTTCTGGCTTTAAATAATCTGCCAATAGTTGATAAGCCATAACAAAAACAATCAATCAAACCACCAAATGTATACGTAGTTTCCCATATATGGGGTTGGGACAAGTTCAAACCGTGCTGGAAAGCACTTTTTCTTTATTGCTTCTCTAATGTGCAAGTCAGTAGATGTAATTCACACACTTAAAAATAAAAGTGGTATATACTCAAAAATGTTTCCACTAAAAATAACATTTAGAGTAATGAGATGTATATAAATTTTGATGGTCATATGACGGAATGTATAAGACAATTTGGAAAACTCTTATTTTGGCATCAAATGGATTTTCTTTTGACTAAAGCTACATTGGTGAGGCATTATTCACATTGTCATGAATGCTGGTAGGGGAATAAAAATCCAGTGTTGATATGGCTAACATGAATTACATTGTCTCAGTAATGTAGATTTCATTGAAATAAAATCAATTTTTCTGATGATGCTGTTTGATCAGTGAAACCTATCAAAATAAGAATTTTTTTTCAAATTCTCATCTTAAATTTTCTACATTTGCCTTTGAAGAAGTTTCTCACTATAATGAAATGCATAATCTTAAACGGTTTTCCTTTTGTCATTTCTTATACACACACGCAGCACACACAGTCTTTAGACAAATATTATTAAAAACAGATATTTTGTGTCTGCTAATTTTAATAATGCGCACACACACACACACACACACAATGTTTTATATATAGGAGGTGGCATGTTAGAGCAATGGATAGTGGCTTGAATTGAGTAATTGGTGAGCCGAGTTCAAATTTCAGTTGGATCCATTACATTCACTTATATGCTGATACTCTTGGGAAAGATATGAATCCTCTTCTTCTCCCCCAGCTATGGATAAATAGCAGGACAGATTGTTCTATAGCCTTTGTTATCATTTGGAGAAGGAAACTCTGAATTTAAACCAGCCTGGAGAGGGTTAGGCTCCTTCCGGCTATCTTGCCCAAGAAACACCACTTACACTGTGGCTGCATGGGTCAGAGGATTGTGATTGTGATATATAGAACAGTCTTACTCCATACTGACAAGTAGTCACATTTATGTAACCACGAAACTTTGAAGTAAGCATGACAGAAACACTGCCAGGTTAAGTGAAAAAAAACTTTCTTCTTACTAATTTTATTAACATTCTGTCTCTATCTCTGATATTAAGCACTCTACCACAAAGCCTGCTTGCCTTAAATGCCTTCCTATCAGCAAACCACTGAGAAACCAGCAAACTTCCCAAGTATGTGTCTGTCTTGTATGCATATATACCTCAAGATAAATGCTTTATGGCAATTATGACTCTGAAGACAGTCCTGTTCATCAGCAGGTTTATTAAAAGACAAAAAGGTCAAACCAGAAAAAAGTACCCACACATATAAGACTAGTTTAGTCTGAATAAGAAACAAACAAACAAAAGAGCAAAAAGGATTATGACAAAAGCAGCCAATGCTTCAATATAGAAGTAAGACCCTTTGTCTAAATGGGTAAAGGAAGGGTAAAGGAATATTTTGCTTACATGAATATGTATAAAATTGCTTTGATAACTTCCCAGAATACTTTCATACTTTATTTAACTCTTATCCTACTTGAAGAATTGTTCTATATGCATGCTTTATTAAAATATTATTAGCACATTACAATTATTTGCAATCAAAAAAGTTTTTCAACTTTTTATCAAAAAAATTAATTGACAATTATCTACCTCACATTGTGACCAAATTTTCAGTGTTTATCTTTTTTTTTTAATTCATTTTTTTTTTAATTCTTTTATTTTTAATTCTTTTATTTTCAATTTAGTCTGATAAGCAAGGGACATAACACAAATGTTTTAAGTCCTTCAACCATTTTTCTTTAGCTGGTAAAAAAAAAAAAACACTCAAAAATTTTTTATCAGTGTATCAACCCCAAAAAACCTAACCAGTTGTTACAAACTCATGTTCTTTTGTCCCTGGTAAATTTCCAGCTATATATTGTCAGTGTTTTTTTTAGCAAGACTTGTTTAAAAGAATTCTTGCAGACTAGATAGACATTGTTTACACACACACACACACTTTAAGTTATTAAATAAAAAGATTTAAATCTTTTACAAGAATTTTACTCTAAATATTTTATTAAGTATCAGTATATAATTTTATAGAAATTGGATTCTCTTGAAAAAGAAGAAGAATTGAGAATTAAGGCTGGTTTCTATGACCTTGATGAAAGTGAAGATGACGACGAAACCAAGACTATCAAGAAAACTGCTGCTATGTATGTACCTTTTTTTTCTTTTTTTAATAAAATCATCTTTGATAAAGTGCTTTGTCAAAATTATATACTTTAATTTTTTCCTGGGTATGACAGTAAATTACAGTAATCCCACTGATTGGGAGGTTTTGAGGAGCGTGAAACCACCTCTTAATTGTTGTTGTTCCCAGGTCCACCCTGACCAGGAATGGTAGCTCCTGTTAGGGTCCTAGCTGTGGGCAAATATTTAACCCCCAAACTCTGGTCAAAACACTATGAAAGTATTAAAAATACAAGCAATATGTTTTCATAGTAAAAAAAAAAAAAAAAAAAAATTACCAGCAATACATTTTTGTAAAAGAACTTACTAATGCTCCCAAGAAAATTAAATTTCAACATTAAATGACCCATATACTGCTAAACGAACAATATACTTTTATTTCATAAATATTTATGTGAGTAATATCTTACCCATGGAATTTCCTTATCATTAAATAACAAGTTTCTTAATTTCTAGTTTATTTGTTTTGATTAATTCCAAAGTAAAATAAAAAGGCTATTGAATGTTCATTGATAAAGCAATGTAAAAATTTAAAAAAAAAAAATTTTGGAAACAGATATATTACTTCCAGAGGAAAATTGATCTCTTAAGCAACCAGTAGTTGACATAATCAGTTGGTGAATCCAGAAGTTTGTCTTAACTAAATTATGCTAATTGTTTTTTAATTTAGGATCCGAGAGAAGAGGAAGTTGATCATCTTGGAATCAAGGGCCAAACGTAAAATCAACCGAATCCCACGACCAAAATCTGCACCTGGAACCGTTGAAAAACTGGAACAGGATATGGATGACCTTGGTGTGGAACTAGACAGAACTGTAAGTTTGACTTAATTTCTTTCTACATGGGTGCAGATTTCATCTCCTTCCAGTTCTGTTTCCTGATATTCAAAACCCTATATAAACCACTTTCTCTCTCCCTCTCTCTATTAAAATGACATAGAATTCATTTTACTGGAATAAAGATTTTTTTTTTGTTATGCATGTAATTATTGACATTTAGTCACTTTAGCTTAGAATGGCACAAGACTGTAAGTGTGGTGGTACCTTGTTAGGATTGGCTCACTGCAGCAGTAATGGTCTGCAGGCTACTCAAAATTAAACTATTGAATATATATATATATATATATATATATATATATATATATATACACACACACACACACACACACTGTCAAATCTAATTGTGTTTTCATGATACATTTAGCATTACCAATGTTGGTAAAATGTTTAGGATATATTTATATAAGGGATATATCATATGAGTTTCAGCTTATAATATCTATCCTTATTAGAAAACATCGATTTTAAAACATTGGATAGTAAACACTAAATTAGTATCTAGTTCTAAATGTATCTCACTATTTTCTATGTCGTTATAATATTCTTGGTAAGAACCTTGTAGTCTCTGGCATTTTCAAGTAACAATTTTACTCCTATGCTTTTCAGTATAAATTACCTTTTTACAAGGCCTTATGGCTATATTTCATTGAAACACCAATTCTCATATGATCACCAAAGTTAAGTAATGTTGAGTCTGGTCAGCACCTAGATGGGTGACTACTTAGGAATACTAGTAAGACTGAGTTTTGATGTAATGTGTGAGCATGGTGTAACAGATAATGGTTCAGGATTTGAGATCAGAGAGCCAAATTCAAATTTTAGCTGGGTTCATTATATTAATGTATGCGCAAATACCCTTGAAGGATATTTTGCATGGCACCATTGCAGTTCAATGCTGGAAATCCAGTCTTAGATTCTGCCATTGACGGCATTCAACATCTTGCTGCTAATCCTTGCACTGTAACCCTGGCAGGAGTGACTTGCTGGTACTATGCCTTGACAAAGAGGGCAACCTATGATTTTGGTTCCAGTTTTGAATTTAAAGTTGTCCTGCTCCTAGACTGATTGTGAACCACGGCTAGGAAACCCAGTCTGTCCAGCTATTTACCGCAATGCTTTCATACCTTTCCCAAGGGTATTTGTGCACAAGTGTATGTAACAAACTTGGAGCTGCAATCCATTTCACTGCCCTCACATCCTTATTGATATAAACGTTTGGTTATAAATGCTATCTAAATTCTAAATTTATATTTAGTAGATTCCTTCTTTTTTTTCTTTAACCTATCCTCACTCCCTGGCAATCTTTTGTTTTAAAAAGCAATGATTAGAACTGGAATAAAACCTAAACATATGAAAGTGAATTTATATATTTTTGTTCTTGAGAATTAACAATAAAAAATAATAAACACTACTTATTTATTAGATTGTTTATTTACACTATTTATTTATTGGAATGGTTGGCAAAACATTGGCTAATTACCAATTGATTCAAACTTTATAAAATGGTAAATAATAAGGATTTCCTTATAGTTGATTCACATATTTTAATGATTTAGTAAATTTATCAAAATTGTTTTCATATTTATTTCCTTATAAATTGGTAAGGGATAAATATTGCTTTGCATTGGTTCTAATTGTATTGGTTTTTAGAATGTTGCAACTATAAAGTTATTCTTGTAAATAAACCATCTAATAGTGTATAATATTTTTGTTATAATTTCTCAAGAACAAAAAAAATGCATAAATTCACTTTCATGTTTAGATTTTATTCCAATTCTAATCATCGTTTTTAAAACAACAAACATTGCCAAAGAGTAAAGGTCGTTTAAAAAAAAGTGATATCATGGAAAAAACTGTTCTTTTGAAACTACGTCTTATTGTGGACATGTTTCTGTTTGCAAAACTTTCAAATAGCAATTGCTTTTCATTTGGTTTTTCAGTCCACTTGTTGCTTTATTAATAAAGGCACTTATGATTATCTAATGTTCTTTTAGCTTTTCATATGTACATGAATATTTTCTTTTTAATGTTTCCATATTATGCATTTTAAGATTCCAAAAACAAAATTGTACATTATTACACATTGATCATCAATATATAAATGCAAATTGATGTATTTTAATTTTTCCTAATAGTAATTCTGGTTTTGTATTTCAGAATAAGAACTATGCTCGCCAGAGATCTCGTAGCACCTCACGAAAACCCCTTAAACGAAAGAGGGAAGACTCTACAGCTGCTGTCAGAGCACGAAGTACTTCAAGACCACCAAGAGATGTATCTGGATTAAGAGACATGACTGTATGTATTGATTTTACTGTTTATTTACAAAAAAAAAAAATTCAGTCCCAAACAGCATAAAAAGCACTTTAAACATATTACTTTTCTTTTCCAATATGTATTTTTTTTTTTTTAAAATGCTTTATAACAACAAAAGCATAATTGATTCATGTGTATCTACTTCAGTTAATTTTTTTTTAAATCCTCAATTTTGATGTCAAAATCAACTTATTTTAATACAAGGGGAAATAACCTCAAATGTCACATTTGTTGGAAATGGACTTGGCATACAAACAAATCTATATTATAGCTATCAAATTTTATTTTATTTTTTATCATGACAGCAAAAATAGTATCTAAGATTTTTGCTAGTACATAAAAATATATTATTAAAATGATCTAACTTGAAAAGAAGCAATTTCCAGTACAGTTTGAGGTCTGCATGTTCCAATTTATTGAGGGCAAGTGAAATGACTCCAGGTACATTGATAGAATAATTTCCTTTATTTGTAAATAATAATTCAATAAATATAAGACAATTGTCAATGGCAGTCTTAATTTAGTTATTAGTAAAGTAAAAATAAGGGTAGAGGGTTGTCCCTTGTTTAAGATTGGGTTTCTGGTCCCTTCTCTTAAATCTGCCTCATTTTCTTTCACCCCCAGTTACCCTTACATTTTAGCAGCATTATTGTCTTGCTTGGAAATGGTTTTAAATAAAACAAAAAATATCTATAAGCCAATCTTATTGGATTCACATTTTCAAAGCAATTTCTGACTGATTATATAATAAATATGAAAGTTCTAATTGCATGGCAAAGGCAGATAGAAAGGAAACTATACACTTCTGTCCATTCATTAGATATGGCTACAAAGTGTTTTATTGGCATGCCATAATGATTGATAAAAGCAGATGATGAGCACTTAGGCAAATCTATAACTACTCTATCTGCTCATTTTGAAAAGCTGATGTTTCCATTGTCTCTCTTGGCAAAAACCAAATCACACTTTTTTTTTTTTCTGGAAAAAATTTTGTCAATTTAAATACCTTTACTGTTTGATTGTTATTACTGAAAGTTACTATCAAGGTCAGTGAATTATACCCAGACACATTAAAACTCTGAAAGGTAACCAGGTGTGTCTGAAGTTAACAACAAGAGTAATTTATGAATTATTTTTATACTTAAAAAAAAAAAAAATATCTAGAGACACTAAGCATATGACTTCCATGTCTAAGTCAAGTTTTTGTCATTTGATATTTTAAAGTGGATTCTAAATTCCTTTAATCTTTAAGGAATGAATAATCCTTTTCTTTTTGCCTTCCTCAGGGGATTTAAATTGGTCATTATTGCAGATTCTTTATAAATCCCTTTAAATTAAAACTGTACTGCTTATCTTTGGGAATGCTAAATCAAAATTTCATGACAAATTTTTTTTTTAACTTTTTGAGTGCACTTGTAGAATAGTTAATGCTCTGGGGGTGCATTTTAAATTTTAATAAAAAAAAAGTTGAGAAACACTGACTTAGAGGGTTGTGACATAATGGCTGAAGATGACCAATTTGAAATGAACACCATTTAATTAAGTACGTCTGATAATCTTTAGTTGTTGTGAGATAAGAGGAATTTGTAACTTTTATCAAATAATATTTACAGGTCTCTTTTTCTCTCTACCCAAATGTTTTGCAATCAGGATAATTTCACCAATGTTTAATGCTATGTAGAACTATTAAATTGTATAAGCACTAACTTTTCATGTAAATATTATAGGCTTGATCTTTTGAATAAGTACCATATAACATGCTATTTATTTATCTTTTTAGATGGTTGCAAAGGTACGAAAGATAGCAAGAAAAGCTGTAAAACCTTTCACTATGGACGGACGAAAGGGTGAATCTGACAGACACATTCACGACCTGAAACCAAAGCATCTGTTTTGTGGAAAACGGGGTATTGGAAAGACACAGAGACGATAAACTAAATGGGCTTAGGACAATTCATTGGCACCTTTTCAAACAAATAATTGAGATTTTTGTCCACAAGAAAGTTGCCTTTGTGAATAAAATTTATATTCCTAAAAAAAAAAAAAAAAAAAATTTTTTTTATTATTTGGTAAAAATTTTTCCCTTTTACCACTCAGAAAATTGATTTTCCAAATATTAATATTATACTTTTCTGCTTCACCAATTAGTGAACCTGAATTCTCACAAATTTTTCCTGCTCAGTAATGATTTACATATGCATGCTTCTTCAGTTACAAACCACTCTTCTGAATAAGGATTATTTACATATTACGGAGAGTAAAGATTGATTTGTTTGCATGCCTGTCAAGGTGGCACCTTTTTTCTAGCTAGGTAAGTTATTGCTAGTTTTATTATCAAATTGAATACAAATAACTTGATGCTTCTTTTGTAGTAATCCATGCCTTTCTGTTTCCGCTATACCACCACACATTTTGGATGCTCTAGTTTGCTAAACTGTTAAAAATGACAAAAATAAATTTCCACTTGGAAATGTCAGCAATCAAATTAGTGAAATAACTTCTGATTTACCATTGTGTAGATGAAAATCATTTACAGGGAGGAAACTTAAAAAACTTTCAATAATTATTTTCCATCTTAGGCATGTTCATGGCCAGGTTAGAATTGTACTAAAGTTGAGATTGCAGGTGTTTTTTTTTGTTTTGTTTTTTTATTATATATATATATATATATATATATATAGTATTTTCCGCCAAGTAGAAAGTCTCTCGCAAATCACTTTAATGATAAGTATCAAATTTGTAAGCCATTTTCTTAGTTATTACTTTTGATAGCAAAAAATATTTTTGCTGACATATGAAATTTTTTTTCTTCTTTTCTTCAGTTTGTAAGAAAGAGCAGTGATGACAAGTGGATCTTCAATCCTCACTGTCTTTCTACACACCCCAATCTCCTTATAACTGAGATAAGCTGCCTAATGGGTTGATGATACTTAGATGAAGAAAATTCATTATTCAAAATCCTATTTATATTTTCTTTTTTTTTTAAATTTCCCACTTTTGGTGGCAACTATTCAACAAGGGAGATAATTAGTCATAAAGTAATCTAATGTAAAAACTTGGTAGTCACATTTCACAGATGTATACTTATATGCAGGTTTTTAGCTTTAGATATAATGCATCAAAACTGCAATGATGAATGTTTTGATCATTCAATCAAATAAAATATTAACAGTTTTTAAGTCTTTTATTTAACAAAAAATAAATATTTATGGTTGTAGTTGTCATTATGAAGGCTTATCCATTTCTTCCAGGTGTTTTTGCTGTTCTTTTAACTTTTCAATAGAATCTGAAAGAAAAAAAGTTTAATCGTGATTTTCAAGTACTTATCTCAGAGTGAGATTTTTAAAGCATGGAGCCCATGTCCAACAACAATCACTTTCCATAAAGAGAATTTAAGAATCTAAGAGTGATATAAAGTCAGTCAGTTATGTGCCATGCATGATACATGCTTAGGCGATCATGTATCTTTCAATACATGACTGATGAGGCAGATTTTTTTTTCCCCTGCGGTAGGTTGCCATCCAAGGCTATAGAACCCAGTCTGTCCTGCTATTTACCCATAGCTGGGGAGAGAAGAAGAGGATTCATATCTTTCCCAAGGGTATTATCACATAAGTGAATGTAATGGATTCAACTGGAATCCAAACTTGGCTCTCAGATTCCTCAATCCTAGCCACTATCCATTACTCCACCATGCCTCTTCATGATATAAATACATTTCCTATATTTTGATACAACCCAATCCTCCAAGGAGACAGGAGTGTTTGTACCTTAAATAAATATTTAAACTATGTCAGTTATAAGATTATGCTTTTCCATAAATTGAGACCTACATCATATATAATAAAGGACTACAAATTTTATTTTTTCTATAATACATACTTCTCCACAAAAAATAAATAAATATACTGCAATTACAATGACAGTATGACTAATAAGTTAGAATAAAGCCAAACAATATCATTGTCCAAAAATAGTTTAAAGATCAGCATTTTATTTAAGTTACTGATAAAACTATTTTTAGCCTCATCCAAACTGAAGAACACCTTTTACAGCTTCAATTGTCCTTTGGTTTTTATTTTAAGTATTTATTCCCTCATTTATACAATCCATGATCCGTATAAAATTTGAATACCTCAAATATTCTTCACTCAACATGATTCTATCTGCACAGAAAGCAGTCTGACAGAGTTGTTTTTGTTTTGTTTTTTTTAAGCACTCCCCAATACCCCCTCCCCAACCCTGTTTGAACAAATTTCTGGCAGTTTACTTTAGGAAATGCATGATACACAATCCTGTTTTAAATTGAAAATTAGGGAGAAATGTCAATGATAAAAATGAAAGTTATGTATAATGTAAATACTTTTATAGAAATAAGATTCAGTGATTACAAATTAACTCAATAATTGATAGAATGCTGAATTTATGTAGGGTGTGTGTGTGTGTGTGTGTGTGTGTGTTATATATAACTATATTTAGTTTTATTGTGGAAATTGTATGATAAAGTGGAAAAAGTTTACTTGTGATGCATTTCATCTTTCAGGACTTTATCAGACTATATTTGTTGTTGTTTTGTTGTTATGACAACATACCCCAGTGTGGAATACCTACTAACAAAAGTGATGGAAAGAAAGACTCTAAATTAATTTGTCTATATATATATATATATATATAAATCCACCGTACCCCTCATTTGTGTGTAGCCATACCAACATAACAAATTTAATGAGGTTAAGGATGAAATGCATCACAAGTAAACTTTTTCCGCTTTGTCATACAATTCCTATATATATATATATATAAAAATTAAAATGATAGAAACAATAAATACCTTTACATGAAGCCATTACTTTATCTTTATTATCATTTCGGAAGAAGATGTGACTGTTGGGTTGTTGAACATAGATACTCTGCAACAAGATGGAAATTGATACATTAATACTTGCATCTCGACTTGTTTCCTTCAAACTAAAATTCTCATTTGTGTTTTTAAAGTGTTTTTTATATTTTTTTTTGGGGGGGGGTATGTTTACCTTCATCAGACAGCAGTTACATGCAAAAAATCTAAAAGATTAAAAAAAATGCTTATTTGGACCCTGAAATTTTGAGTTTAAAACGAGCAAGAACATTGTAGTTTTTAAAAGTTGGTTGTAACTCATAAAAACGCCATAAGAGTTCAATGTAACTAGTTTGAATTAATTTCAAATTTTGTGGATTACACTACAAAAGTCTTTGGAAATAATTTGCCTTCGGAGAAAAAAAGTTACAGGTGAGATGGATTTAAAGAAAACAAACTTTACAGCAGCTAAAACCCAGGTTAATAAATATTCAGTCAGAAAACTCTCACATGGTTTGTAAGTGCTATAGTGTTGAACCATGTGAGTAAAACTGTTAAATTTTAATGGGTTTCTCCTATCTGTTTCTTTACTAAACTATCATAAAAATATTTGTTCAAGTGTCTGGAATAAGGAGTTGTTATTAATCCATTAATAATGCTAAAAAAAAAAAAAAAAAAATCAGCCAAAACAGTGATCAAAAGAACAAAGAATCGTATGGCTGTATTTTTTTCTTCCCACACTTATTCAGTCAACCAGCTTTTGTTTTTATATGTTCTATTAAGTCTCAAATGAAAGAAATCCTAATTGGTCAGAATTCATAAAATTGGATTGAATAAAAGGATCTCATTTATGTAGAAACAAATATTGTTATAATTCTTGCCATCATGATAGCTATGCTAGTCGAGAATTTAAATTAAAGGGAAAAAAAATTTTTAGTGGGAGGATCTGAGGACCCCCTTTTGATCAAGATGTAATATACATATCCAAATGGTTACGGGAGTCTATTTCTAAAACGCTAACACAGACGCTACAACTTTATATATATGATGGACTCTCCTGTCGGTTTCAACATATGATGATCTGACATCTTAGTTGTTTCAGTTATGAAATTTTATGTGATAATCTTAAGTGGCACTTAAGACCCGCTAGTGATTTACAAAGGAGGCCACATGTGGAGCAAGAGTGAGGACTGTGGGATGAGATCACTGTTAGATTGGCTGACCTTTTAGATCTTGCTCTTGCTTGAAGAGGATTCAGACAAGCAGATTGAAAACTGCTGAGTCTACTAAGACACGATGATCTCCATTCTACCCACTCCAAGGCTAAGCGCTCAAGGGTGTTATGTGGTATATTGACAGCTGACAAGTTATATATAAGTATATAATGGGTCTGATCCACTTAGGTACATATAATTCAATAATCTTAATTTAAATGACATTAAGTTTGCTACACAAGTAAACTGGTTTTTCTAACAAATTCCACTATTTTTTGGAGGAGAGCACCTGGTTGAAACTCACCAACAAATAACATTCTTGAGTAATCACAGACTAAAAAAAAAAAAAAAAAAGTGAATCAAAACAAATATTTTAATCAATGTAAGTTTTCAAAAGTCAGTCTTTGTCCTTTTCTACAGGATGCATCAGAAATACTTTTCACATAACGGTAAGACATTAGTTAGATGAAGACACCATTTACACTAATGTCTTACCATTTTGTGGGAGGTATTTCTGCCGCACCCTGTACATGCCCTTCCTTTAGTTCCTCTTCTGTCACAAGCTTTTTATCAATGATACACATACACAACGGAAATCAGAAATATTCACAGCAAATCGATAAAAATGAATACGTACAGCATCTTTCCTAAGGTTCTGGAGTTCATTTTCCAAAACACAAAATTCATTAAGCTGAAATGAAGAAATAAAAAAAGAAATTAGTCATTGATATTGTCAGACTAAACTTTAAACTTGTCACGACCCCAAGTCATAACATCACTAATGAGGCAATCATGCACACCTGTTGGAGTGTATTCATAACAAACAAATTATAGTTTTAGGTGAAATAATATCAACCATTATTTTTTATCTATTTTCCCCAC